TGACTTGTGTCTCAGGAACTCCTTGTTATGAAGCTGGGGAGTGGACCTGAAGCTGGGTTTGGGGGAAGCAAAAAAGAAAAAAAAAGGTATGCCAGAGTCCCCACATATGTGTCAAATCTTTAAAACCTGGATTACATGTGAAAAGCAATTTATAAAAATGTTGACGAGCAAAATGCCAAAGAAACAGCCTTAACTGAGATCTCATCTCAGCTTGTGTCTTCCAAGATCCTCCTCAGTGCACGCTTATCCTCAGACCTGCCCTTCTACACGCAGACACCGATTTGGGTTTAACTGAAAGGAAGGTGACTGCCTTCCTTCCTTGTTTCCAGCACTTTATCCTCGCCTAACAGCACACTGTGAATCTGTGTGGGCAGAATTTACATAGATGTCTCTTGTGGGACCTTTTCTTTTCTGAGATAGGGTCTCCTGTATCCCAGGCAGGCCTTGCACTCATTATGTAGGTGAGGATAACCATGAGCTCTTGAGCCTCCTGCCTCCACCTCCTAAGCGCTCTACCTTGCCCAGCCCTTGTGGGCTGTGACCGTATGGGCATGCTCTTTTCATCATCTGTTCCTCCCTGCTCTGGGCACACGCACCAGTTCCTTTTTCTTTTTTCTTCCTTTTTTTTTTTTTTTTTTTGGTTTTTCGAGACAGGGTTTCTCTGTGTAGCTTTGCGCCTTTCCTGGTACTCGCTTTGGAGACCAGGCTGGCCTCGAACTCACAGAGATCCGCCTGCCTCTGCCTCCCGAGTGCTGGGATTAAAGGCATGCGCCACCACCGCCCGGCTTTTCTTCCTTTTTTTAACCTGTAAACACCCCTTGGTGCCTGTCCTTGGGAAGTTGCTCATATACCCTTTTAAGGTCAGTTCCCTAGAGCAGCTTTAACCAAAAAGCATGTGAACATTTTTGAGACTTTGGAAACTGAGCACAAAATTGTCCTCTAGAAAGATCACCCCAGCTATGCGCACCTCTATGGATCCTGTGTCCGCCACCCCATAGCCTTGCCAATACTGGCCAACGTGATAGATGAACAATGTTGTCTTACTATTCATCGGATCTGTTCCTTTAACTACTAGGAAGCCGGGCATTTGTCCCTCTGCTCTGTGGTCAGTTTCAGTGGATGCCTCGTGGCCTCTGTGCGTCTTTCTGTTTTCCTCGCAGAAATAATTTATAGAAGTGATGTGGTTCTGCTGTGCAAAGCAGCCCAAATGTAAAAGGAGAGTAGCCCTCACCTGCCCTTCTCAATATGATTACTTTTCCATCGCTTGAGGTAGTTTGCTTTCTATGCATGTTCTTTTGTTTTTAATATAAAAATGAGACCATATTCAATGTTGTGTCCTTTGACTTGCTTTCCCTACAACTTAATGCATCTGGGAGAATGTCCTACCCAAACAGTGTAAATGGTTTCTTTCTTTTTGAAACGTTGTGTAGGGATTAAGACTATCTCAATTGAGAAAATTCACATGCCCTAAGCCCACCCATTTAGAGTGTACAACTTCATGTTTTTGGTGTATCCACAGAGTTGTGCGGCCAGCGCCACGGTGAATGATAAAAGGCTTTCATCATTCTGAGAGAAACACAGTGTCTTGTCTGTCATCCTCTAGTCTTCTGGCCCTTCCTCCTTCAGCAGCGACTAACCCACTTTCTGTCTGTGCAGACACTTGTGTTCTGGACACTAAACTCATAGATTGAGTCATCTACTGTGAAGCTTTTTGTGTTTATCTTTTTGCACGTACCTGTAATTTTTCAAGGTTCGTCTATATGATATCACAGATCAATACTTCTTTCCTTTTTATGACTGAATATTACCCCATTGTATCTATATGTCACATTTTGTTTACTCATTCTCTAGGTGGACATTTGGAGTTTTTAACCTTTTGGCAAATGTGGAAAATGGTGCTGTGCACACTTGTGTACAAACATTTGAGTACCTGTTTTCAGTTCTTTTGGGTGTACACATTGGAATAGAATTTCAGGTCAGGTAGCATCTCTGTGTTTAATTTTTCTTTTTTTTTATTGAAAATAGATATTTTTATATATTAATTTTTCTTTCTTGCAACATGGTTTTACTGTATAGTCCTGGCTGGCCCGGGACTTGCCCGCAGACCCCACTGACCTTTCACTCACAGAGATCCTCCTGCCTTTGCCTCCTGAGTGCTGGGTTTAGAGGTGTGTGCCACCTTACTTGGCTCTGTGTTTGATTTTTTTGAGGAATTGAAAGTTATATTCCATAGTGTGTGTGCTATTTTACATCCTGCCCACAGAACATGGGACCCCAATGTCATCACGCCCTTATTTCTCTTCTGTCATTCTTTTTAAAGATAATTAATTCTTGCCAGGCAGTGGTGGTGTACACCTTTAGTCTCAGTGCTCAGGAGGCAGAGGCAGGAGAATTTCTGAGTTGGAGGTCAGCCTGGTCTACAGAGTGAATTTCAGGACAGCCAGGGTTACACAGAGAAACCCTCTTGAAAAACCAAAAAAAAAAAAAAAAAAAAAGTTCAATTCTTTGAGAATGTCCTGCAATATATTTTGATCATATTTGCCCCTGATCCTCCCCCTATTCCTCCCAGATTTTTCATTCCCCATTTTTCAGTTGTGGCCACCTGAGCAATGTGAGTGGAGTCTCATTGTGGTGTTGCTCCATTTCCTGATGGTTAATGATGCAGAATGTCTTCTCCTGTATTTCCTGTCCATCTGTGTCTCTTCTCAGGGGAGGGGTATGTCTCTACAAACATTTGCTTTCTTGAATATATGTATGTGGTATATATTTGTGTTTTTTGTATATATGGTGCATATCCGTGTTCACATATGTCTACACACGCCTGTGGAGGCCCAAGGCCGATGTCTGGTATCTTTCTTAATTGCTCTCCACTTTCTGTATAGAGGAAGGGTCTCTCATTGAAGGCTCAGAGCTCATGATTCAACTAGTCTAGCTGGCTTTGAGGATTCCCTGTCTCTGCCTCCTGTGCCCCAGGATTACTGGTAGGTTTCCACTCTCACTGTGCTTTTAGGTGGGTTCTGGGGGATCCGACATCTAGTCCTCACACTTGCACAGAAAGCCCTTTACCTGCGGAGCCATTTCCCCAGCCACGCATGTGCTGTTTTTAAATGGAGCTGTTTGCCTTATTTTATTATTGGATTGCTTGTGTTCTTTACATATTCTATGTACAATCCCTTATCAGACACACGGCTTGCAAACAAAGTCTCCTAGTCTGGGAGCTGTATTTTCACAGAGATCATGATGATTAGTATTCATTCTTATTTAAATATTTGGTAGAATGTACAGTTGAAGCCATCTGGCCCTGGGCCTTTCTTTGTGGGTAATTTTTAAATCAATATTTGTTACACTTTTTTTTTTAGACTTTCTGTTTCTTTCTGAGTCAGTTTTTGTAGTTTGTGGTTTCCTGTGAATCTGTCCATTTCATGTAAGTTATTTAGTTTTATTGGCATACAGTTGTATATGGTATTTGCATTTTTAGTCTATGGATGTATCTTAGTCTAGCCATTTTTTAAATAGATTAGCATTGAAGTTGTTTTTGTTTTTTACTGTTATAATCAATGCAGTGACGACTATTTTTATGAGTGCTTGGCACAGTGTACATGTGTTAGGATATGGATTTTTTTCTTGGGTGTAGCTGCTGGGTCAGGAGTCTATTTAAACAAACACTGGCTTTTTCTGTTGTCTTCTCCCATGTCTTTATTGATTTGGGTAAGCCCTCTGTCTGGCAGTCCCAGTGTCCTGGAGACTGGAGTTAAAAGAATAGTGTGTGGCTTGTACCTAAAGAGAGTAGAAAGGGCGGGCTTGGAGTCTGGATGTTTGGTGGCTACTCTGGTCATGGGTGTTGGGTGTGGGTGCCTCAGACCTGCTCTTGTACATTAATATGTCAGGTTCCAGAATGCATATCCTAAATTACTATAGGTTGCAGACTTTCTGCCTCTTTAGGAGGCCTGCTTTAGTCTGATAGACAATTGGCACCTGAAGCAGGAGTGAGTCTCTCTAGGTGACTCCCCAGACGTCTTTCCCATTGGTGGTTCCCTTCTGAAGGATTCCAAGGGCAGCGGGGCCACAGGCTGCTCTAGCTAGCTCGCTGATGCCTGCAGAGCCCGGAGAGTGTTGGGTGGCTGTGTCTGTGCATGAAGGAGTGATGGGAATGTGTGCGTTCTCCCCCATCACTGTTACCTCGTCTCTCTCATCTGGGGACTGTCTGCTCTGGGCACTCATTGCCTCACAGATGCCAGGGTTCAGATGTGGGCAGTGGTGTTGGCGTGGTGAGTGGGGGACTTCTCGGGACTCCTGTGTTCCTTTAACAATCTCATCAGCTTCCTTGTTCCTTTATTTCCCCCTGGAGTTTATGCAGGTGATAACAAAGTAGGTGGAAGGTCTGGGAAGGTGTTGTTGGAGCAGTTAACAATAATTCATCCTCGAACCTGGAGGCCCAGTCCAGTAGGTTTTGAGCTTTGCTTCATCAACTTACTCTAGGCCTCAAAGCCATGCCTCAGGGGCCAGGGCTGCAGGGCCACCTCAGGCTCAGGCTGGAGCAGCTGTGTGTTTCCTGGCTCTCTGTCAGGTCTTGAGTGAGATTTTATAGGAGACAGAAAAGGCTGTGGTGTCGCAAATGACAGAAACTAGGAGTGTTGGCCATGTTGGCCTTGCTGTTGGCTGGAAACATCCCAGACACCAATCCTGCTGGAGGCTGAGTCTTCCCAGGCGTTTTGGGAGACTTGGATTTTCTCTAGGGAACCACACAACCTCCTTCTGCAAGGGCCTGCACTCTCTAGGACTGATCATTAGTCAGGGCCTGTTTTATTTCTTCTTTGATTGCCTGGAGTGTTCTGGCCCTGTAGGCCTGCAAAGGCAAAAATCACATTAGCTTCTCTCTTGACCCAAATGAGTCTTGTCCCTGGGGAAGGAATGCTGGGGCTCAGTTTCCAGAGGGCTGATGAGTGGGAGGCATTCTCAGCAGCCCTTCCTTCTAACCCCTCCCCACTTATGTCTTTCAGTCTGCAGAGTTCTTCGAGATGCTGGAGAAAATGCAGGTGAGTACCCTACATGGGTCGGCAGCCCAACCTCAGGTGTGGATGGTCTCAATACCAGGAGGTGCCTTAGAGGGAGAGGACTCCCAGCTCCAACAACTTAGGCCACTTTGCTGTTGAGTGGCACTGAGTTTTTGGGTAGATTCCTGCCTTGGGACATGGAGGGCCAGCCCAGTATACCATTAAGCCTTGGGATGTGGGGAAGGCTCAGAAGAGCTGTTGATTCTAGAAAGAGTTGAAAGGAACCCTGGAAAAGCAAGCCCCATCTAGAGGAGAGTTACGTGGAGTCGGGGAGCCAGAGCCACAAGTGAGATGCAGATCTGAGTTCAGGCCCTGTATCTGCCACTTTACTGTACAACAGACTTGTCATTTCCATGTCACCAAACCCAAATAAGAGTGAGAATACCCACTGACACTGTTGGGGGTGAAATGAGATCCTATGTGTAAATGCCTGGAGGACGCCCCGTGAAGTCAATGTGTGAAGTGCATCTGAGGGCCCTTTGTAATCAAGTCCATCTCTACAGCTCCCTCTCTGTGGATTAAAGCAACTGTGGATGCCAACACTGGGGGGTTGGCGACTGTACTGAACACATACAGACTTTACCTTTGCTGTTCCTCCCTGGACAAGGCAGCATCATCATTTACCCCGTGTTTGCACCGTGTTAGGGATTGTAAGTCACCTAGAGGGGGCTTGAAGGGCACAGCGGGACCACTGCAGGTTCTCTGCAGACACTGTGCCATTGAACATAGGGATCTGAGTGGCCAGGGGTGTTTGTATCCATGTGTCCTGGAACCAGTGTCCCCCCACCCCAGATTAGGGCTCCCAGGTAAGAGCTGTTCTGTTGTCCACACTGGTTATCAGCTGAGCTCTGGGCTCAGTTGACAGGGTGGTGATGGAAGGGTTGGTAATGGTATACGTATGCCAAGTGCTTCTCTGGGATCCCAGATCCACAGGGGCTGTTTCGTTCTTATGAGGTTTTCAGAACTGCACGTCTCACGTCTCTCCGGCCCCTACATCACAGAGGAGAGCACTCAGCAAGAGTGCTGAAAGAATGATGCCCGTTTCTACTCTAGAGGAGGAAGAGCCTGCTTTACTTTCTTCTTTTTAAAGTATTTTTATTTCAGGAGGAAGGTTTGAAATAAGAGGCTGGACGTCCTGGGAGGAGGGGCAGAGGAAGGGTCCAGCGGGGTCCTGTGATGTGGAGCAGAGGGCACAGAAGGGAAGGGTGTGTTAAGGGAGAGTAATGGTTAGTAGTTGTGCCATCACCGCGGGATAAATTCTCCTCTGCACCCGGCAGTTTGTGGACCGCAAACTCATTTTCTACTCATTTAGGGGAACTCATAATCTAGCTGCGGAAACAAGCTATGCACCGCAGAGTAGCGGAAGACAGGGTATCATTAAGTGCTCGACAGCAGAGCAAAGTGGAGGAATCTCCCTGCTACCCAATGAGATCTCAGCTCACTGGGAGGGATTGGTGGCTCACTCCACAGGCTGTGGTTGCTCTCTCAGCCCGCCCACCCTCACCTGCAGCTGAAGTCCTTGCCTCCTCCCACAGAACCGGCAACCTCTCTAGGGCGGGGTGGGGGGGGGCTCACTTTCGATCTCTCGTTATCTCAGAGACAGTGATGCCCAGCGTGGCTTGCCAGCCGCACCTCAGTAGAAACGGTGGGAAGCAAAGTTGTCATGTGTAAGACTTACCCATGGGTGCCCTGGGCACTGGCCCTAGTGGACTCAGTTTCCAGCAACTGCCTGGATGGAGCTTACATGTAGGCAGTTGGCAGAGAGGGAATGCTGCCGTGTGGCTGGATTCCGCCCTCAGGCGTGGGCCTCATCTCTCTTCGTCTTACCATCGTGGAGACTGAGTCTTGGAGAAGTTACGTGGTTGGGCTACTTTGCTGGTTCTGAAGCCCTGAAACTAGGATCCAAGACCCCTCGATTCCAGCCTAAGTCTAGGAATTTGAAGTCAAGGAGGCTTTGGGGCACGTGCTTTGGAGTCTCCCAGTCCAGATTCAGGTCTGAACCTGGTGTCCTCTAGCTGAGTGCCCTTGGTCAAGTCATTTCCCTCTCTGAACTTCCATTGTTTCTTGGGGGCAGGGAGAAGAGAACATAAGGATAGTACCTGCTGCAGCAGGTGATGCTTGGAGGAGGGAGGGCCTGGCTGTGGATGGGGCTCCCTGGTAGGGGAAGGAGTGGAGTGGCAGTGAGGCTGGGGGGAGGTTTGCCCTCCTGCCCTGGGGACTGTTCCCAGACAGGGATGACTAATTCGGGACAAACAAAACAAACTCCTGACTTCACTCCCCCACCCACCCGGTGTGCCAACCTGGACAGGGTCTACAGGGCCACCCAGGCTGTTGTCTGCGGGTGTGTGCGAAGCACCTGTCAGTGGGAGGGGCCTTCCCACACCCTCCTGAACAATGCTGTGGGATGACTCAGTCCAGCAGTCCAGAGAAATGGCGTTAAAATCCACCTAGTTCGCAGGCGACCTTCTGTCCAGGGAGGAGGGTGTGTGGTTATATACCCAGCTTCATGTACGATTCCTGTCACTCACTAGCTTAGTGTCCTTGGGCACACAGCTGCCTCTGGGGCCTCAGTCTCCTCACTGATGAAAAGGTGTTCTGCCTTCAAAAGAAGTCATGGTGGTGCTCCCTCTGGAGGGTTAGGGCCTTGCTAAGATGGTGACCAGGCAGGGAGCCCGCTTCTGACTCCCTAGGGGGACTGCATCTCCCAGATGCCCCCAGCTCATACTCTCACCCCATGCACTCAGTCTTGGGAAAGCCTTGCATTTCCTTCCCTCTTGCACAGTCCAGTTCAGTCAGAACCCGACTGAGGCTGCCGGACCAGAGGCTGCTCCCGGAAGTGAATTCCCAACAACCGCAGGCAAAGCCCTTTAATCCAACCTTGGTCACTGAAGCTGGAAAATGCAGATGGTGACTTGAGGTCTAATCCTCATTCTACACATGCAGCTAGGGCGACTCCCTGGGTTACAAATAGGAAGCGCCTGGCAGAGCGAGAACCCGAAGGACCATGCTTCCTGCCTGTCATCCAAACACCCTTCCTCCAGGAAAAGGTGGAGCTAGAAGGCAGGAGGACCAATACGCTGGCTCTGACACCTGCAGATGTGGGCACTCATCTTTCCCACCCACGGCCCTGTGGCCTTCAGGAAGGTATTTGAGCACAGAGATAATTCTACCCACCTACACTAATGTTGCCCACACCATTTACTGTACACCATCCGTGCCTGAAATACATAACCAGTTCCCAGCCTTTAACCTGCACTGTGGAGTGGAAGGCACTGTCATCGTTACCACTTTATAGGTGAGAACAGGAGTCACGCAGAAGAATCTGTGACTTGTTCAGGTCACCAGGCTAGGAAGTGTCAGTGCTGGGATTTGAACGCACGTGGTCTGGCTCAAGTCTATACAAACTCTTAACTGGCCGCCCCGCAGCCTCGTCTGGGGTTGGTGTTGGGACTGACAGCTGCCAGGTGTGGGAGGTGAGAGGCTCCAGTGCCTACCAGAGGCTCCTAACCATACGCGGTGACCTCTGCTTACATAGATCCTCTCTTCCTTGTTTCCACAGGGGATCAAGCTTGAAGAGCAGAGGCCAGGACCTCAGAAGAACAAGGTGGGATAGGCAGTTGAGGTAGAGTGGCCAGGTGGACCCAGTGAGGGGCCATTATAGAAAGAGGGTGGGAGAATCAGTGAACGTGTTGAACTCACGTTGCGTGCCCATCAACTCTGCTTTTCACCAGGAGCCAATTAAGAACTGCACTCTTGTTAGACTTGTGTCTGGTGGGTGGCAAAGGGACCCTGGCTCAGTGTCTTAAGACTGATTCCAAGCAGGCTGGATGGAGACTCTCAAGTGAGACCCAAGGATTGGAGGCCTGTTCTCTCTGTGCACCTACACAGTGTTGAGCGTTGCTGGATTCAGGACTCTGACGGGCCACCAGATCTTAGCTGCAGGTTCTGTTTCCAAGGCCCAGTCACTTGAAGGGGATGGGGGGGAGGGACAGGGAGAGACTAGGATTCTCTTCTTTTTTTCTTTTTAATCTTAGTTGGCCTCAAGCTTGTTATGTAGTCAAGGATGACCTCAATCTCTTGATCCTCCTATCTCTACCTCCAGAGTGCTGGGGTTACAGGTGTGTGCCAACTTGCCCAGATGCCCAGCTCTCTTTCTGTCTTAGACCCCTAGGATGACAAAGTAATGTCATTGGGGGTGACTAGGGCATCTCTATTGTGTGCTGTGTCTTTGGTTGGCTGGGTTTGCATTCAGGTCTATAGAACTGGAGGTGAGTTCAATGGCATGGGATGCTGAATCCTTAGGGTTGCCTCTGGAAGGCTCCATGACTCTGCTTCCTTGAAGCCCTGGAGAATCCTACAAGGTCCCCCTAACACATCCCTTCATTAGACCTGGGCGAGGAACATGGAAACAGCAGGTCGACTGTTCTGGTCACTTGTGGAACTAATGGTAGTGCCCTGTGCTTTGTCTTGCAGGATGACTATATCCCGTACCCCAGCATCGAAGAGGTAGGAGTTCCCGACGGCACTACAGCCTGGTCTGGGTTTCCTTCCTGAGGAGATCATGGCCCTTTTCAGCCCCACATGGGCAAGAATCCTGGACCTAAGATTTTAGGGCCTGACGCCCCTTCTTATCTTTGTGTCTGTGACCAGAGCTTTTCTGAGGTTTAACTTGGGGGGGTCTCAGATAGTCTTTGTGAAAACCCGGGGGTCCCAGTGAAGCTAGAGATGCCATGGGGCATTACGTTCCTGCCCTTGGCCTCAGATACAAGGCCTCCCTCTTGGGAACAGTTCAGAGGTGGGTGGGGTCCCTCTCCATGACAGTTCAGGGTAAGCTTCAGGCAAGAACTCCCCTTTTTCCCCAGGTTGTGGAGAAGGGAGGCCCATACCCCCTGATCATCCTGCCCCAGTTTGGGGGCTACTGGATTGAGGACCCAGAGAACGTGGGTACTCCAACGTCACTGGGCAGCAGCGTTTATGAGGAGGAGGAAGAGGACAGCCTGAGCCCCAACACGTTCGGCTACAAGCTTGAGTGCAGGGGTGAAGCCAGGGCCTATCGCAGGCACTTCCTGGGCAAGGTGAGCCCGGGGACTCTCCTACAGTGGACTCTGCCTTGGGGAGGGTGGCATGGATCTCTGTTCCAGGGCTCCTCTGGATTCTCTGCCTCTTCTCTTTCTTGGTTCTGTACTCCTCACTGCCCACCTCTGTCTTACTGAGAGTCTGAGGAGTGACATGGAGTCCTTGTGAGGAGTCCTTTTGGGGACCACCTCCAGCAAGTGTTTTATGAGGTGATGAAATGGTTAATGTTGGGAATGTAGGAGGATGGGATAGAGTTTTAACTGCTCAAGTTATACTGCTCAAGTTTAACTGCTCAAAAATACGCCCTCTCTACTTGGATGGCTCTGTTTACATGTGCACCGTCCCCATCTCTTAGGCTCCTTCAGGATGGTCCCCTGAGTGCTGTGATTGGATGTTGCCCTGTGAGAATGATTTTTTAACAATGGCAAAGTTACATTTCCTCAAATACATTTTTGTCTTGATATATTCCCCAAAGTCCCAAGGGAAGCTCTGGAAGTCTCTGGCCTAAGATGGCTTTGCAGCATCACCGGAAAGAGTCTGTACAGACCTCCCTGAACTTTTAGGAGCATTAAGTGCAACTTCCATGGGCTCACTGTTAACTGGGCGGGTCTGGGAGGTGGGCTCCAGGAAGCCAGAGAGAGCCACACCTTGTGAAGAGGGGCTGCCATTCTGCTTGGGTTCCTCCTAGCCTTCTTCCATGGTTTGGAGTGGTTAGGGTTGCCCCCTGAGTGAGAAAGGGAACTCAGCTTCAGGGGGGTGAAGGACCTGAACTTGAGAGCCCAGCCGGATGTGGAGCTGAGCCTGGCTCTGTCAGCCACTGGTTGTGTGATTGGAATGGGGATGGTGACATCATCTCCTACACAAAGCTGTGGTCAGGATTCAAGAGGGTCATAGGTATGAAGGCTGTGGGGTGGTGCCTGGCACATCCTGAGGACTTGGTGGTTGGCACCGATTAGTATCATCCCTATCACCATTATCATCACCACTATCATCGTTATCATCATCTTCACCATCATCACCATCACCATCACCACTGTTGGAGCAGCAGCGTCCTTCTCTTCCTCCTTTTTGAGGGCTTCTCCCTCCTGGTGAAGGAGGTTATATGGGGGCCATGTCTGGAGGCTCATACCCGATTTCTGTTTCTAGGATCATCTGAACTTTTACTGTACTGGCAGCAGCCTGGGGAACTTGATCCTGTCCATCAAATGCGAGGAAGCTGAGGGCATTGAGTACCTTCGGATCATCCTCAGGTGGGGCTGCTACACCGGTGGACACCACGCCTCTCCCAGGCAGAGCCGGCATCAAGGACGATGGGGGGGAGGGCAGAAATACCAGACTGACCAGTCTGATCTGGTTGCACAGGAGGAGGGGCCGAGCTGCTGGAACCCTGGGGCTGTATATGATGTTGCCAGGCAGCATGACCATGTGTTCCTGCCAGCTGTCTGAGCTTCAAGGTCACTTAAGCCAGAACTTCTGGAACTTTCCTGTCTTTCTTAGGAGGGACAGTGACTCTGAGGAGATGGAGGACGAAGTAGGGATGGCTCAGTGTGGCTCATCAAGGTGGGACACAGTCCCATGTTCTGGGAGAGATGCTCAGACTGCTACCCTGTTAGCCACCTAGTTAGGGAAGGTTGTCTGTGTTGGGGTCCTTGAGCTGGAGTGATGTCCTTAGCAGGAACACTGACGTCAGGGTCCCTCTCTCTGAATCATGACCTCCTCAAGCAAGGGAACTTGAACTGGTTTCTCTTTGGTTCAACTGGCATGGTTTGCTAAGTACCCTCGAACAAGAAACTGTGATGGGTGCTGGGGACAATCATGACTGAGACTTGGTCCCTGTTCCCCAGAGGCTTACAGTCTCACAAGAGAGAAACAGAATTTTGATAAACGTCACACGTGTTATTCTAGTCATGTGCATAGGATGCTACAGGGACCCGAATAAATCCATGGGTTTATCTCTGTCCCTGGTGGGGGTCAGATGTGGTGGAGTCCGGGAGAACTGTGTTGAGTGTAACTGGAAATACGATAAGGTGTTTGAGGATAGGAAGAACACTTTCTTTTCTGTCTGCGTGTTGTGTGTGGGTGTGCACATATGTCAGCCGGTGGTTAGTGCTGGCTATCTTCCTGTATTTCTTGACAGCTTAGTTTTGGAGACAGGGTTTCATTGAATCTGGAACTCACCAATTCATCAAGACTAGCTGACTTGTGAGCCACAGGGATCCTCCTGCCTCTGCTTCCCCGACACTAGGATTACAGGCACACGCCATCATGCTTGCCTTTTTATGCGGGTGCTGGGAACTGAGGTCAAGTCTATATTGTTCGAGTGGCAAGTCCTTTACAGACTGAGCCATCTCCCCAGCCCCAGGAATGACATTTTTTTTTCCTGTCCAAATTTTGAGCTTTCAATATGGGAGCACAGAACAGTGGATATAACCCTGCTTTGGGAACAGGTGTTTGAAGAAGTTGCCAGCTTGTGTCCAGCTTTGGTTTGCATCTTGGTGATGCCGGGGAACGAGCTTCAGGGGCTGTACCGGTGAGGCCTGTGCTTTGCCAACTGAGCAGGACCCGGTTTACTTTGGAAGGGAAGCCATTGTCTTTGCAAGTGTTTTTCTGGGTAGACACAGTGTTTGCAAGGCATGGCAGAGTCAGCTAAGCAGTTTCCCGAGTGGGTAGTTTCTGGGTCCCTGTCTCTAAGCAGGATCTCCACTTAGATGGAAACCTTTCTTTCTTAATCAAACCCAGACCAAGGCGACATGAGATGTCTGTGAGGTGACAGCTGATCATAAGGACATTTTAGTGTTTCTTTCTTTCCTGACATTTTTTGGAAGCAGGGTCTGTAGCCCAGGCTGGCCTGGAGCTCACTGTGCAGTTGAGACTAGCTTTCAACTCACAGTCCTCTTGCCCCAGCCTCCTGAGTGTTGAGATTTAAGGTGCACACCACCTTGCCTGACTCCCTAAAGCTCTATTTTCTCTTATTATATCCCATATATCTCAACTAAAATGGTTACCATGGACAAAAGCTAGGGTTAGGTGTCAGGAACACAGCACATGCTTTGACACACATGCACACACACATATGATATACATATATGTGTATACACACATATATACATATAATCTTTAAAAAAGTTGTAGCCTATGGGACAATTAGGACCAAAATGTAGGTGACGTTGAGTTGAAGCTTGATTCTCCTTCCTTTGAGAGCAATGGAGTGGAATATATGTAATTGGAGGTTTATAGTCAGGCCTGGTGGCTCACGCCTGTAATCATACGCCAAGAGTTTGAGTCTGATCTGGGCTACATAGTGAGTCCCGATAGGAGATTTCAGGAAGAATCTGGTGCTCTTTAGGGATGAATAGCCAGAAATCTTTCTCCATAGAATTATTTTTGTTCTAAGCCCACAGCATTTGAAGCCAGTACCCCCAGGAACCGAGGAAACACAAATGTGGCTCTCCCACAGGAAGCCAGCGGGTAGGGCGGCAGTGAGAAGCTGTACACCAGCCGGGAAACTGGGCAGTCGCAGCGTGGCCCTGGACTAATCGCCTGACCAGTTGGAAACCAGGCAGGCGAAATGGGCTCCGTGGCTTAGCAGCTTCACCGGACACAAAGAAGGACTTAAACAGGGATGAAATTCCCTTGCTGGCCGTGATCCCTGTCCCAGTGTTAGGCCTCTGGATTATTTAATTTGGTGTCCCAGATTTACAGTAGCCAGCTCCCCAGCCTAAAACATGCGATGAGCATGGCAGCAGCCTTGGTGTGTCTGGGAATACCCCCCCCCCCCCCCCCCCGGTTGCAGGCATCACTTCCTGTATCTAAGGTCCCACCACAGTTCTTCGCTGTGAGCACTCTTCATAAGGCTTGTTCATTTTTAAATTAGCTTGTAGCTTGGCATTTCTATCTGAAAAGTCTTGTAAGTAGTTCTGACAGCAGGTCTACTGAGCAGCTTTTGAACCAGGGGGTAAGTCTAAATGGCTTTCAAAACGCAAGCACTCTGCTGGATGCATTCCCTTAAATTTTGACAATAAAACTAGAAATTCATAACAAAGTAATGCTTCTGATAGTTCACTTATCCATTTAGAAACAATCATAATAATTTTCTAGATAATTTTTATGCCAGAGAGGAAGTCAAAGCCACAAAGTCATGGAATAACTATAAATAATGACGTTTAGCAGTTGAGATGGCTTAGTGGTTAAGAGCACTGGCTGTTCTTCCAGAGGGCCCAGGTTCAGTTCTAAGCACCCACATGGTGGCTTACAATTGTAGCTCCAGTTCCAGGGCTCCCAAAGCTCTCTTCTGGCCTCTGTGAACACCAGGTATGCTCACGGTACATAGACAGACATACATGCAAGCAAAACTCCCAAACACATAAAAAGAAAAGCAATGCCATTTATAATATTGTAATGTAAGTTGTATTCAAAGCCCTCATTAAAAGAAGATCTAGGGCCGGGCGGTGGTGGCGCACGCCTTTAATCCCAGCACTCGGGAGGCAGAGCCAGGTGGATCTCTGTGAGTTCGAGGCCAGCCTGGGCTACCAAGTGAGTTCCAGGAAAGGCGCAAAGCTACACAGAGAAACCCTGTCTCGAAAAACCAAAAAAAAAAAAAAAAAAAAAAAAAAAAAAAAGAAGATCTATTGCTCGTTGCTGAATAAAAAATGATATTTGCAAGTTGCTATTGCTATTAGTGACCATTCAGTGCTTCAGGTCCCTTATGCGTGAGGAAATTATTAAGTAATTGAGTGCTTACGTGCCCTAGTGAGTCTGGGCTCCACATATGATAGCTTCTCGATAATGACAGCTGGCCTCATTATTATCAACACTATTATCTAAGAAAAGCAAGAGGAAGGGATGAACAAATATTAATGTGGAAAAAATAATTAGAATGAAAAGAACTTAAGACTGGTTATTAAATCGCATCTTCTGCCAGGGAAAACAAAACAATATAGATGACTGTCTAGTCAAATGTAGAGACAAAGAAGCCAAGCATGGTAGTACATACTTGTTATCCCAGCATTTGGGAGGTAGAGTCAGGAAAACCAGGAGTTCAAGGTTATTCTTATCTTTAGAGTGAGTTGGAGACCAGCCTGGGTTACATGAGACTGTGTCTCACAGCCCATATAGATAAAATATATAAAACATGTATGTACAGATAAAAATATTCAAAATATTTCAATGTAGATAATATGTGTAAAAATACACAAACTGATAAAAAGAAACACAATTAGGCATAAAAGATACATTGTCGGGGCTGGAGAGATGGCTCAGTGGTTAAGAACACTGGCTGCCCTTCCAGAAGATTTGGGATTTCCAGCACCCATGTGGTGGCATGCAAACAGCTATAACTCTAGCCTAATGGGATCCAACGCCCTCTTCTGGCTCCATAGGCATTATACACATATAGTGCACATTCATGCATGCAGGCAAACCTCAGGCACATAAAATAAAAATAAAACTTAAAAATGATACATAGTTACAGATCAGGAGATTAAGTAATTATTAAGGAATGTCGTATCTAACATAAGCCATTCAACTGAAAATGCTGTTAGAAACAGGTGCCCTTCCAGGGAAGAATACATGACCAAGTTTAACTTGAGATGAGAGAAAAACTCAAATGCAGCAACAACTGTGGACTACATTAAAAAAGTTCTCAGAGAACTCTCTCTCTCCAAATGTTTCTGGCTCTAGAAGATCTTACAGGTAGATATTTTAAACTTTAAAGGAATAGATTTGTGTTGCTTAAACTGTTCAAGAAAGTAGGAAAATATGGGAGCCTTCTCAGTTAACTTGTTAATGCTTAGAAGATCCTTAAAAAAACAAAACAAAACAACAAACCAACAACAGGTGAATGAAGTGCCAATTCATAAAAAAAAGGGTCCAATATTTATAAATACAGAAGAATGTTTTAAGCAAAGAAGCAGCTGGAGAACCTCAAATCCACATAGACTATAAAGCATGCTTATGATAGTTAAGAAAGAATTATTTAGCAATGTAAAGAATAGTTATTGTGAGAAATGCATTATTCACTCCATGTTTGCTTAATCGGTACTTAGTATGTGCTGGAGTGCTGGGGATCGGCCCCATGGCCTGTGCATGCTAGGCAAGCATTCTACCACTGAACTTCACCTTCAGCACCTGCTTTCAATATTCTTATTCCTCTCAGCCCTACTTATCTCCTTCCTGTGGACATGGATCTTCATAGGCTGCTCAGGGTGGTACAAACGAGAGCTACAGATAACGGTTCAAAGCCCGTGAGATGTGTGTCTGAGCCAGTGTGGGATTGTTCTAGAGAGGTAGAGGAAAGCTAGACCATGCATAATGTTTGGAAGTTTCGATTTTTTTTCAAATCTCCAGAGCAATAGGGGTGCTACAGAAGGGAGAATGTCATGATCAGGCATGTAGGGAGACTGGACTGGCTAGAATGAGGAAACAGCTTGTAGCGAAAGCAGAGCCATAGCGGGAAGGCGGGTCAGGAGGCTGGGGAGCTGAGCCGAGCCAGGTGAGCACAGGTGATGACCCAGGCCAATGGACTGTATAATGTGAATGGCTCCCCCAGACTGTCCGGACCAGCAGCCATGATGGGAACTTAACCAAGGTGGCTTGTACTGAGAATAGAGAAAAGTGGGTGGACAGTTCCAAACACATGGGAAAAAACTGGCATTAAGAGACAGCTAAAATGTCAGCCAATGGAAGAGGGATTTGCTGTGATGATCTGCAGATAACGTTGTGCTTTCAGAGTGACTTAAACACGTTGTTTAAGACCTTAAAGAAAGATGAAGAATGGACAGCATCTCTTGAACGGGTCAGAAATTGCTGTTCAGAGAATCGAATCAGGAGCATGTAGGTATATAAAGAGAGCAATTAGAGTTATCAGCATGAAAAATAGCTCTTGACATAAACTTAACACACGGGATAAAATCTAGTCTTTCCAAAGAGTGAACTGGGAGACAGTTCCAAGGAATCCATTCAGAACTCAGCGCAGATAAAGAGATTAAGTGTAAGAAAAAGAAGATAAGGTATGTGGACAACAGACTGGGGGGGGGGGGGCTCTGCATTCGTCTCAGGAGTTGGAGGAATGATTAGGCACACTAGTGAATAATTACCCATGGGTAAGAGCTGAGAGTGTGTGAGAGCTGGAGAAAGCTCACAAACATACCGTGGATTATGATTTCAAAACAAAAATACTGGTAGACATGTTTAAGGGAAGCAACAGGAATCAAAGCTGAAACTAAGGTCATGAATGCTGTTTGAGGTGAAAGCCAGTCTTTGAGGTACTGACAGCAGATGGGGAGCAGATTTTCCTTGGGTCATAATAGTTGTTGGATACTGGGATACGATCTTTAAAGTGTGGTAAAAGTGGACGTGAAGAACTATTCTAGCCTACGGTTCTATAGTCAGAGAAGCTGTCACTACAGATAAAGTTAAACTGTTTTCAAACATTAAAAAAAAATAGTGCAGTGTGCCTTCAGAGTATCCCTGGAAGAATTACTGAAGGATACACTATATATATATATACACACTTCAAGAAAACCCAGAGAAGAGATACAATTAGAAAAGTAACAAGAAACAAGTGGAGTGTTGACAAGTTTAAATACTGACTGGGAAAGAGAAGTGATTTTCTTTGCCAAGTTTAGAAGGAAAATTGAATTTATGTTTGTTTATAACAAAAATAGTAAGGCTGAAAGCAGGGCAGAAGTCAGTGGATGAAGCATGCCGCGGAGTTCCAGAGGTTGCTGGGAAAAATGCAAACATGTATATTGGGAGATACAAGATACGGAGAGATAAAAAGAAAAAAAATAAAACAAAACAAGCAAATGAAAACACAAACACCCAGGACGTCATTTGGTGGAATGCTGGAGAGGAGGAGAAAGGAAATAACCCACAGAAAATATAAAATGGCAGACTCCATTTCCAAACATGTTAGTATTTACACCAGATATTAAAGATTAAGCTAGCTGTTAAAATATTAGAAAATCCAATTTGATTAAGAGTGCAGCTTCATTTCGCTCTAGGAGACATTATTAAGAAAATAATGTGGCGTGGAAAGGTTTAGACTGAGGGAAGGGATAAAGACTCAGCGGGGACATAATAACTAAGAAAGCTGGCATAGCAATATTAAAACCAGACAGTGTGGAGTCTCACTGAAAAAGCAGCAGGCATAAAGGAGCAGGCCTTTGTCACCTGGGACCATTTCTTCCCAATGTTTTCCCTGTGTCAATGGAACATTGCATTTAGCACCCCTGGTTCTCTTCCCTGTTTCTGATAGCTGAGTTCTGGAGCAAGAACTTGATGTTTAGCGATGTTCCTTCTTTCCTTTCCTCTTGGAGTTTTCTCCCGGGCAGTCTCCAGAGGAGGGGTCTTGCCCCTGCCTCACAGTACCTGAAATGTACGTAATTTCTGAAGTTTGTCTGGATTTGTTTCCTGGTCACACAGAGCTGTGCGTTCTCGCTTGATCTTTATCAATAACAAAGGAGTGATTTCAGCCCCTCACTGTCTTACTCTTCTTTGTTACTTTGCTTTGAATTTCTTCAAGATAGAGTAGACAAAGATGCCATTTGATGGGTTCCCTCATAGGCCTTAGCCTACTTCATAGTAAAGGGGACAGGAGGCCGGAGAGATGCTTAGCGCTTAAGAGGACCCTGGTTTGATTCAGCAACCACGTGGCAGCTCACAACCATCTGTCACTTGAGTTCAAAGGAATCTGACACCTTCTTCTGGACAGGCATGCGTGTGGTACACAGACATACAGACAGGCCAAATATCCATAAAAAATGAATATTAGAAAAAAGGGAAAGAGGACAGGCCACTGAGGACTAACGGCCGTGGGCATGGACTGGTAAGGTAGTCTTGGGTATAAAAAGCAAGAACTGGGGCTGTGACCGTAGCTTCCCAGGAGAGTCCTTGCTTAGCATGTGCAAAGTCCTAGGTTCAGTTCCCTGCAAGGAAACAAAACAACAACAAAAAGTCTCAAAGCAAGAACTGATGAATTTTTAGGGAGGAGTAGACAAAAACCTCAGCTTAGTGGGAGATCCTGATGAAAAACATTCTCAGAAAACAAAAGCTAGAACAGAATAAAATTGTGAGGCCTATAAAATATTTGAACAGTGCAATAAACAGATTCAATCTTGTATCCTTGCTCTCAACAAAAGAAAAAAAAATACATCCTTTTAGAGCCCACATGGCCTGTGAAAAGAATTAAAAAGGTCTGTGTATTGTTAGGAAATTTAAAATACCATATAGGCTATGCTCCCTGAATATGACCATTAATTTATAAACCAGCAATAAAATACTCAAGGGAAAATTAATCCTGTATTTGTAAAGTTTTTTTTGTTTCCAAGGCCCCTTTAAACAACTCGTGGGCAGAGAAGGAAATCACAAAAGAACTGACAAAATATTTAGGACAAGATGGCAATAAAGACACTACCTATCAAAGCGCGTGGGATGCGGTTGAAATGGCGCTTCCACAGAGATGCACAGTTGCAGATGCGTCTGTGAAAAAGAAGAAAGACTAAATGAGTAGACATGGAGGCTGGTCAGCCAGGAAAACAATGGCAGAAAAGAGAAAGAAGGAGAGGAAAAGGGTGAGCAAGCGAAGTAGAAGCATCAGGACAAAGGTGAAAAGAAAGGTTACATACGGTAGGCAAGCCTCAGCTAAGAACAGAATGCAGGAAGGATGAAGGCGGGCGATGGGTGCAGCCTAGTTGGGAGAGTCTGGGTCTAGCCGCAACTGGCCTATGAACCAGCCAAGGTTATTGTTATGCCGGAGGGACGTAGCTGCTAATAACGAAGCCCAAGGTCATTAAAAACAACTTCATAGCAATGCATGTCGTGGGCACTTGGGTGGAAAAACATAAATTATCCACATTGACTCATGGAAAACTTATATGTTTACCACTAAAGAACCGTAAGGGGGCCTCTTATAAAGGATAGCTGGCCCGGAGATGTCACACATACACTATAGCAAACCTTTAGTGAGCCAAAAAAGGAAAAAAAAAAATCCATGTATTGCACACATCATTTCAGAAGACAGGAAATATCCTGTGATTTTGCTTGGTTGGAATAATACCTTGTTATGGAAACTTGGCAAGGGAGGTACATGAAGAAAAAAAAAGGCCAGCGCTGTTTTGGTGCATAGATGTGATCTAAATAAACAACAACCAATTAAATTCAGCAGAATTTTGATTAAAAACCATATACCACAAACACTTGGAGTTTCACCCATGGAATGAAAAGATGGCTTAGCAGAGTTACAACCCACGAGGTTAACGAATTAAAAATCATATGACGATCCAAGCAGGCGCAGAAAGTGGTCCGTGAAATTCAGCGCTATTGATAATGTGCTAAATGAATCAGGGAACAGGCTAAATTTAGAGTCTTATGTTGAATCCCATTTTAAAGCGGATTCCATCCCATTTATATTTTGAGTAAATCCAGATTTTCAAATATTAGATTATCTCTCATAAAGGTTTATTTGCATTTCAAAATCTAAATATATCCAGAAGTTGGGCCCAGTTCTCTGGGAGAATAAAAAACAAAACAAACAAACAAACAAACAAAAACAAAACCCAGAAAATAATGATGGCCTTGAAAAAAGCAGCTAATTGCATTAGGCATTTCCCCAGGTGTGATCTTTAAGTATCTACCACCCCTGGGGAGTTTTCTCATCTTAATGTGGTGTCCATATCCCCAAGGCTGGCTGGGGAGGCAGATCTGTTTCCAGGGAGATGGAAGCGAACCGAGGACCCTGCCTGGTAGGACCTCAGCCACTTTATCCACTGACTGTCTTTCATGGGTGCCTTCATCTCACCCTTTTCTGTACACAGGTCCAAACTGAAGACGGTCCATGAGCGGATCCCCTTGGCTGGACTGAGCAAGTTGCCCAGCGTCCCTCAGATTGCCAAGGTAAAAAACAAAAATTAAGGGAAGGTGGCTTATTCTGTCAGCCCGGGGCTGGCTCTAGGGTGGGGATTCAGGCTCTGCCTTTGGGAACTGGGAGAGGATTTTGCTTGCCTAGATGGGGTGAGGTGGCTTAGCAGCTTCCTCCATCTTCTCTTCCTCCCTCCAGCTCATCCTTGTACCTCAAGCTGCTTGTGGAACAGTCTACTCCACGCAGGAGACAGGAGAAGTAGGAAGGCAGGGCTGGCCATGGCTAGTGCTTCAGAGGAGGAGGTGGTGGCCTAGGCAGCTTTCACTGAGGGTTGGGGGCTGGGCTGAGGGTGATCCCGATGCAGTCCTACTCTGAGGAAGGGATGGTCAGGGGGCAAAGGTTCATGTCACTGTATGAGTGACTGGGTACTTGGGAATGGAGTCAGTGGAGTCAGAAGGGCAGTTGGCTGGGCTGAGTGGGACCCTCACTCTGAATACATAGAATATATTCACTCTGAATACAGGAATACCAGCAGAATTGTGCCTTTTGTGGGAGTTGGGGAGTGATGGCTTTTTGGTGTTGTCTTCCAGTCAGAATGGAAATGTTTCCTAGACTTCATTTTTTGCCTCTCTTTATCACGAAACCCCAGGACCCTAGACTGTCCTGGGTCCACATTAGTGAGCAGCAGAATTTGAATCCTGTGTGCCTCATTCTCCCATGATGCTTTATGTCTGTGGGCAGAGGAGCCTGTATGTGCTTTATAGACATGGTTCTTGACCTATGTGTTTTTTTTCCCTGCTCAGGCTTTCTGTGATGATGCAGTGGGGCTGAAATTCAATCCTGTCCTATACCCCAAGGTGAGGAACGTTCTGCCCTGTGGGCCTCTTGTCCATAACTCTCCAGCTTGGCCTGGATCTGTATATCTGGGGCTCCATGGGGGAGTTCCTTGCATCATGGAGGGGTCATGTGGGGTCTCTGTGATGCTCTTCTATGTCTTCATCTTTTCTTACTTACCCCTCCACAAACTGGTACCCTCCACAGTCATGCCTGGGCTTCCAGCAGAGCTGAGTAGGTCCCTGGCCTGCTGTGAAGGCTGGTAGGGGAGGGTAGCAGCTTTGAAGTGTTTCTGTCTCTCCCCAGCTGTACTTCTCTGAGACCAGGCTTGGAGTTGGGCAGATTCTATTTGTGCCTGGAAAGACAGTCCAATCCACCTTGACGTCATGGGGGTATGGGGTGCAGAGCTCAGAAACGCACTAGAAGGAAGAGGCCAAACCTTGGCTCCTGGTTGTCCATGTTACTGCAGCTCTGAGGTCCTCTAAGCCTTGCTGGCCTTAGTTAATAAACTGGTGATTCTCTGATATTGGCTCTCTTATGACTGGCCTGATCTTGACCCCGGTTCTGGTATGGGGATGTGTGCGGGGAGAGGCAATAACAGCAAAACAAACCAACAAATGCAGTCAGCAGCAATTACAGCGTGACAGTGCTTAAATCACCCACAGTGGAGAATGGCTTGAAATTGCCCGTAGGAAAAGACCCCACGTCCTGACAGCTGCTTCAGAGGCCAGCAGGGACTCCGGGAGGAAATGGAAGCAGAGATGCACTTCCAATATGGCCTCTGCTGTGTTCCGTGCATCTGTAGTCGAAGCTTGCTGGGCTCAGCTCAGTCCATCCCCCAAGTCTCAGCTCTGACGACCAGGAACCGTGAGATGAAATTTCTGGTTGGGAAGCAAGACCTTCACCCTGCTTCGACATCCAGAACGCCCTCGACCACATCTTAAATGGCTACGACTGGGCACAGCACTCTTAGAAGCATATATGTATCTGTGGGGGATGAGCTGGTGGCGGAGTCCTCAGCTGCGTGGAACACTTCTCTCAGATGCCTCTTTGTCATCGTTGTGGTGTTATCATCTGTCGACACCAGCAACGTTTTCCTGTCATTCAGGTTGACCTACCTTTGTAATCAAAGCTGAATGAGTGCGTTTAATACCCAGTAAAACCCCATCCAAAAGGCTGAGCTGAACTCAGGTTTGGCAGTCCTTGTCACAATCACATCTGTCAGGAGGCTCCAGGAGGCTCGTTCGTAGGTCTGCCTTGGGAAGCCTGAGTGGCCTGGTGGTAACAGAAGAGCAGGTGTACCTCATGCGGTCTGTCTGAAGGCTGGCCGATGCCCAGCTGAGATGTGAATCTGAGACGCGTCTATATTTTCATACGTGCAGAGTTACATGCTCCATGGAAGGTCTCTATGGCCAGCCTCTCCCCTGCAGGGCAGCTGTTCTCGCCTTTGACCCACACAGGCAGCCGTGAGGGGCAACTTATAGGGTGGCTAGCAGGGCTCTCACTGGGAGAGCTGAGGAGCACCCCTTTTCCCAGACAGCCGAGGCCTTTGCAGAGGTAAAGCTTAACGGCGTCCTGTCATGGGCCACATGTTTCAGCCAAGTCAAGCCAGGTTTCTTCCTCTAGCACAGCACATGGCCAATCCCTCCTTGGTGTGGTAGAGGTTTTCTTCTCTTTCTCATAAACCGGTTCAGTTTTGATATTTCTGGAGGGTTCCGTGGATGATGAGAGCGACAGCGCTTGCTCTGTGCTCACTGTGTCGTGTGCCTTGTCTCACTGGATCTCTGAGATTCCACATCTGCCTTTGACGGAGGAAGGAGCAGAAGCATAGGGAGGCTGACTGATCACTGGACACTACATGGTTCAAAGCATTGGATTCAGAGTCAGACTTAAGAGTTTCTGACCTCACAGACCATTTCTGTGAGGCAGCATGGAAGCATAGATAGAGTCTGTGGCCAGGCCTTTTCTCCTCCTCTCCCTTTCCACGTCTTCCTAGAGTGTGTTCATTTTGTGGGTTGACATCTGGGTAGGAGCCGTGACATGCTCAACCTTACATTTCTGCAAAGGATGTGAATTAGAGCAGAGCCATCTTTGATGACCATTTGTTGGGGGAGGGGGTTGGCTTTATTTTTTTAATACTACAAATAATACTGTGGGATAAAGAGAATTCCTTATGTCCCAGCTGTGGCTGGCACATCTGGATGGAATCAGAATGGGAGGTTTGGCTACTGCTGGGGAAGCCTAGGCGCTGGAAGCTAGAGAGGGCGTTGGAACAGCATCCTGACACAGGCCGGTTCTTGGCTTCTCCTCCTCTGCGTGTATGTGGCTGTCTCCTCTCTGGACCCACTCTCTGGTGAAGTTGGCCTGTCTTTCGTTTTTTTTTCCTTGCCTCCTGTTGACGTCGATCTTGATTTTTTTTTCCCTTTCCACATTTTTGTAGGCCTCTCAGATGATTGTGTCCTATGATGAGCACGATGTCAACAACACTTTCAAGTTTGGAGTCATTTATCAAAAAGCCAGGCAGGTAAGCACCATGGTTCACGTTGGTCACCATAGCCTCTTGTGTATGGTAAGCACCATGGTTCACGTTTGTCACCATAGCCTCTTGTGTATGGTAAGCACCATGGTTCACATTGGTCACTATAGCCTCTTGTTTATGACTTTGCATTATTTCCCCACCCCAAGTTCAGGGGTTCTAAACTAGGCTCTTTTTTTCTTTTTTAAGACATGCTTTATTTTTAATTAAGTGTGTATGTGTTTGTTTTTTGTGTAGGTGTGTACACACGTGAGTGCAGTGCCCATGGGGTCCAGAAGAGGGAGTTGGGTTCCTGGGAACTGGAGTTATAGGCAGATGGGATCCGTTTGATGTGGTGCTGGGAACTAAAGTCAGGTCCTCTGCAAGAGCAGCAAGTGCTCTTAAGCACTGACTCATCTCTCCAGCCCCTTCTCTCCGTTTTCAATGAGGACTCTTAGTATATCTCTTTATTTTTGCTTAGCATACTACACTAATCTTGGTACCTTCATCTCTGTGTCATTATGCTCTGTTCCCCTTTGTTTCTGTGTCCATTGCTCTCCCCCTGGAATTCAGCTGCTTCCCTTCACCTCCAGTCAGCTTTCTTGTTACACATCCTCCATTCCCTGCTCTGTTTCCTGCCTTCTTCATCTTTCATGACCACAAACACACAAGTACATGTGAGTACACATGTACACATAATTTTTTTAATTTTTTTTTTTGAGTCTTGAGATGGGGTTTTACTATGTAGCCTTGGCTGACCTGGAACTTTCTATATAGATCAGGCTGGCCTTGAACTCAGAGATCTGCTTGACTCTCCTTGTTTAGTGCTGGGATTAAAGGTTTGCACCCCCATGCCTGACAGACACACATAATTCTTTAAGTTTAGGGGCCCCATAGGTCTTTCCGAGTCTGGCTGATTTTACTTAGCAGAATGACTTTCAGTTGTATCCATTTCCCTGCAAGTGTCATAATTTCAGTTTTCTTCCTGGCTGTGTGAAATCCCGTCGTGTGATATTTGCCTATTCATCTTTGGATAAACATCTTGGCTGGTTCCATTTCCTGGCTATTTGAAATAGAGTGCTCATAGACATGGATGTGTAAGCGTCTCTGTGATTATTAAATGTTCTGGATACAGTTGTCAAATTGAAAGCATGAATTGGATTGGAGGTGGCTGTTCAAGGAAGACAACTTCACAAGGAGGCCTGCGAGTCTTGTAGATGGTGATGTAGTGCTCGCACAGTGAAGTCTGAGTCCTCTCTGCTCTTTCAGCTTATATTTATTTATCTGTGGGCTGTGAGTCACAGGGAAACTCAAACAAGAGAGAGGGTGGGTTAGCCTTAGCTACTCTTCTCCCAGTGGGAAGTTAGCCTTTTCTCCTCACTCAGTCAGGTGTTGGAGCCCAGTGATGTCTTGATGGGTAGGTTGAAATCAGCCTTACTGGGAATATTTACACTATGGAAATTAGCAAAGAGCAAAGTTTCTATTCCTTCGCTGGGAAAGCTGGTTGTTAAAGCCTGTTTTCTACAATGAACATTACTAATCCTCCAAGCAGAATGGTCAGCTGAAGGCACCAACGTCTCCTCATCTAGGTTCTGTGAGGAGATTCCATGCTCCTTTTTCCTTTGTATCCAGGTACCCAGCATGATGTTGGGTCTCTCTCTCTCTCTCTCTCTCTCTCTCTCTCTCTCTCTCTCTCTCTCTGTCTCTGAACTTACAATTGTTTAAGAGTCAATTGGTATGTGATTATTGAATGAATGGAAAATTTGGCTCTGCTAATAGCAGGTCGTTGATGTTCTGTGGGTTTTTTGCATGGCCATCTCTTTCTTGGTTAGTTGATTTCTTTGTTGGTTAGCTTTCTTGGGTAGCTGGTTTCTTTGTCTGAAGATAGGAGACCACAAAAGACAGAGGTCTGCTTCGAAGCCCTAATTGGGTGAAGAGTTAGAAAAGCCGACATGGATGCATCTCATAATTCAGTGGAGATGATTCAGGTTGTTACTCTAATGACGTCTACATATTAACATCTTTATTTCATACAGCTTGGCTACTGTCACCCCCGTAATTAAAGTTCTTTGATTGTGAAATTGACCAAAACATATCTTACAAGGTGATTACAATCCAATGTTCTGGCAAAATTGTAATTGTTGAATATTAACCAGCCACCTCTGAAAAGCAGCCCGTGTATTGTTTATGTACCCAGTGCTGCTGCTGCAGGGGAGAAGCCAGGAAGATAAAATACTTAAAAAATGCCAGGCAGATTGTTGCTCTGCAAACCTACAGCTGAGGGACATTTAATATGAACATTTGTTGCATAAAAGCTCTAAACTGGTCTTTGGATAAAAATAAGCCTCACCTAACCGTCCTGTTTGTCATGTACTGTGCTGAGCACCATGGGTGATAGAGTGATAACTAAGCCCTCCTCCTGAGTGTATGGTCAACCTCAAGGGCTGTACAACAACAGAGACACTGATCACACCCGGGCTGAGTGTGAATCCTGGGAGAGCAGTGCCAGCCCCAGTAGGCACACTGGGTTGTTTCCTGTTGCAGATGTAGCTTGCCTGGAAGCAGCTGCTCTCCCACGTGCTGCCACACAGCCTGTAGTGACAAGGTCTTCTTGGCATGCTGAAGACCAGGGTCAGTACACAGTAATCACAGGGTAGTAGACTCTTTAGACTTCTGAGCCTTGGGGACTGCCACAACCACTCCACTCTGAATGCAGAAACAGCTTCAGACCTATGTAAATGAGTTGGGCAGGTGGTATTCCAATAAAACTTTATTTATGAAAAATGGAAGCAGGCCAGTCTTGACTCCTAGGCTAGCATTAGCTGCCTCCTGTTGAACAGCAGTGTTCACCTATTCATGGATCTCACTCGGGAACTGCATTACAGCATTTGTTCTGCTATGCGGTTAACTGCTATTTCCCTAAAAAAGTTTTCAAACTTAAGTGTATCCATTTATCTATCTATCTATCTATCTATCTATCTATCTATTTATTTTTGAGGTGCTGGGGATCAAGCCCAGGGCCTTACACATGCTAGGCAAGTGTTTTACCATGCTCCTAGGGGCTTTTATTTCTAAAAGAAGTCATAGAATGCTACTCTAACTGGAAAGCCATTGTCGCTGGCCCTCGCTATTATGAACCGAAGGCGGTTTTGGGTGTGCATGTTTGTGTGTGCTCATGTGCGTGCGAGAGTGGGTGAGTATGTGTGCAAATGTGTATTTGATTTATTTTGTTCTGCTTTTGAGACTATAGCTCAGGCTGATATTGAACTTGCTGTGTAGCCCAGGCTGGCCTGGGACTCATTGTTCTTCCGTCACAGCCTTCTGCTTGCTGAGCTTACCAAGAAATAACTATTAAAAAGCAAAATAAAGTTCTGGAGACGGGCTAGATTGTGTCGCCTCTTGAAGGCTTGGCACCTGAGGTCTTATTGTAAAGCAGGCTGGGGGTGTCAAGCAAAGTAGGAGAGTGCTAGTGTAGCATGAGGGAAGCTCCGAGTTCCAGCCATTGCAGGCATGAGAGAGATGGGATAGAGCTGTCGGTGGACACTCTGTCCTGGAATTGACGGGGCAAATTGGAGTGTTTTATGTGTAGCTGCTGGTGTTTGCGGATCTTGCCTCTGTGGGCAGAGCACATGGGTTAGGCAGGGCTTGTCAGTGATTTAAGTCTGTCACTATTTACAGGACTTACTGTTATTTTCACTTTCGCTTTCTTTAGGAGTTATTAACCTTCTTAGTTTTTGCACAGGAGGAAATAATAGAGAAAGGTCTGATACTTTTACCCAGTCTCCCCAGAGGTCAGGTCTCAAACTACAGCACGGTGTCACACCTAGGATGGTTGACATAATGGAAATATTACTCCAGTTTCCCCAATTCACGTGGACTTAAAAACGCCTGTCTGTCCATCCATTTGTCCTTCCGTCTGTCCGTCCGTCCGTCCATCCATCCATCCATCCACATATCTATGTACATGCACTCAGAGATCAGAGGATAACTTTCAGGAGTCAGTTCTCTACACCACATAGGTCCAGGAGTTGAATTCAGTTTGTCAGGGTTGGCAGCAACTGCCCTTACCTGCTGAGCCATATTGCAGGTCCCTCACGTGGACTGATTTGTATGTGGCGTGTGTATGTATGTCATGGATGGTGTGTGTGTGTGTGTGTGTGTGTTCCATGTTGTTTTATCCATGTGTAGGTTCCATAGTCAAGAAAAAGATTCTCACTACAAGGTTCTCTACATTTTCCTTTCACAGCCCCCCACTCCACCCCCTCACCCCCAGCCTCTGTTCCTTTCTCTGGTCCCTAACCGTTGGCAACCATTTATCTGTTTTCCCATCTTGGTTTCACACTGCTATAACACCACACTGATATCATACCTTTATGAGTTATTGACATTTTAGTTAGGAATCCTCAGGGCTGATCTCTGCTCAGCAGATTCTCAGCAGATTTGTTTCTTTTCTTCTTGCCTCCACTCTCTCCCTCTGTCCCTTCCTCTCTCCTCTTTTCTGTTTCCTTCTTCCTTCTCTCTCTCTCTCTCTCTCTCTCTCTCTCTCTCTCTCTCTCTCTCTCTCTCTCTCTCTCTCTCTCTCTCTCCTGTTTACAGGTAGAGTCTCCCCGTGTAGCCCAGGCTGTCCTTGAACTTGGTACCTCCCTAAGTGCTGGGATTACAGGTGTCTGTCTCCATGTCTGTCACCTGACTTAGGCCCTGTTTCTCTTGCTGAGTAGTATTCCGTGGTCTGGCTGCACACGCCATGCTTCGCCATTCGTTCACTAAGGCATCGGGGTTGTTTCCAGCTTTGGGGAACTATGACTAGAACCACTGTGAACACTTTTATGTAGGATTTGGGTTTTGAACCTGTGTTTTCATTCCTCTGGGGTAATTGCCTAGCAGTATAATTGCTGGTTGCGTGGTCAATTGCATGTGTAGCCGCCAGACCATTTTCTGGAGCGACTGTTTCCCCATCAGTGTGTGAGTGATCCAGCTTTCCTGCATCTGAGCTGGATTTGGTGCTGCTGACTTTTAATTTCGCCCTTCTGACACATGCATGGTGTACCTCATTGTGGTGTGCATTTCCCTGCCGGCTAATGATGCCGAACATTATTTTCTTCATGTGCTTACTCACCATCTCTGTGTCCACTTAGGTGAAGATCTTTTGACCATTTTCTAGTTTTTCTTACTGTTAAGTTTTTATTACAGCTTTACTAATCTATAATTCTTACACTGTGCAATTCACAATAGTAAGAATTACGGCTCCACAGGTGGCTTGAGGTGTGATCACAGTGGCACAGCAATAATGATCTAGTTCCAAAATATGCTCATCACTCTCCAAATAAAACTTACACCTGTGGACAGTCACTCCTGTGTCCCGTTCCATTTAGTTCCTGGAAGATACCAAATTCAAGGCCAGCCTCGGCTACATAGTGAGAATCTGTCTCAAAATAGCCTGCCTTCGGTTCTGTGGATTTGTCTATTCTGGACCTTTGAGAAGTGGAAGACTAAATGTGACGTTTTTGACTGTTTTTTTTTTTTCTGCTTAGCTAATTGTTTTCAGGGTTCATCTATGTTGTAACGTGGTATGTCTATTCCTTATTTAGGTCAAATAATGTTCCATTGAATGGCTGTGCCACATAAAAACAATCTGTTGGTTGGTAGGGAGATAATCTGGGTTGTTTACACTTGTGGGTTATGTACAGTGCTGTTGTTGACATTCATGTACAAGTTTTTTTTGTATGTGTTCATGCATTTTGATGTCTCTTGGGTATATACCTAGGGGCAGAATTGCTCAGTGGTTAGCCTTCTGAGGGACTGAGACTGTTGCCAGAGCATCTGCCCTGTTCACACACCTGTCAACAGTGAGCAAGTGTTCAGAGTTCTCCATAACCTCACCCACATTTGTTCATTCATCATCACTGTGTCATTCATCATCATCATGGGGTCTTATTGTAGTTTTGATTGCTGTAGAGTTTTTGTTATGAGACAGGGTCTTACTGTATAGCCCCAGCTAGCCTAGAATTTGCTCTGTAGACCCACCCCAGCCTCGAATTCGCAGAACTCTGCCTGCCTCTGCCTTCCGAGTTGCAAGGATTAAAGGAGTGTGCTGCCACACCAAGCCCTATTTTAGAGTTTTGAGAATTCTTTTTAGAGCTGCTTTGGAAGCCAGGGACCAGTCCTTTACTTTGAATCATGCTTTTGGTGTCATCTAAGAGCTCTTTGCTCTGGGCTCTGCTGGACTCCATGGCCTCATTACCTAGGGCCAGCACCCAGCCCTGCAGAGTGTTCCTCCATTAACCCACCCCCTAGCTGAGGACAGCTATGGCGAATGTACTGGACAAGAGGGAAGAGCGGGGAAAGGGACCTGGACAACCCTTTCGCTTCACACCCAGAAGTTTCTTCTCATTCCTTCCCTGGCCCCCGTGTTTCTTCCAGACCCTGGAGGAAGAGCTATTTGGGAATAATGAGGAGAGCCCAGCTTTCAAGGAGTTTTTGAATCTCCTGGGGGACACCATCACACTGCAAGACTTCAAAGGGTGAGTTCTGTCAGGGACTGCCTTCATCCATGGATGCGGCCCTTGGTGAGGGCCAGGGCAGTCAGTTCTGTCCTGGGGGAACATGGGAGCTTTTCCAGCTTCTGATGCTTTGCTCACGTACCTGCATTCCTGAAGACTCAGTGGTCCTAGGGATAATCCAGAGTGACAGGTTGGCTGAAAGGCAATGGCCTCGGAAGCATGATGAGATCGCTCCTGCTGAGGTTTGCCTTCCTAATTACATTTGGCTCAGACTGCCGGTGAAAGGAATCCACCTTCCCTACCACTCACCTGGCAGGAGAAAGAGAACCCTGTGCTCTTTGGAAGGGAATGACCCAATTTGGACAACGTGTGAAGAACAGATAATTAAGACTTCACACGAACATAATAACCCTCTCGGCAGAAATCCATGCAACAGTGTACGGTCCCTTAAATGGACAGAAAGCTAGACTATTGGGACTATTGTTTGGAAAACCCTGGCCCTTGATTTTCCTAAGATTTAGTCCAGGAGCCCAAACAAGAAGCTAACATCTTGTGAAAAGCACTTAGTTCAGTTGCAGTAGGTGTTCAATAATTGCTTTCATTCTCTGCTTCCTTCTCCTTCCCATCCCCCCCCTTTGCTCATCTTCTTCTCGCTTTGAAGTCACACTACTGTCTGGAGTCTGGAATCAGTCACACCAGGGTTAGAATCCCACCTCTGACACTCACAAGCCCTAAGATGTTGGACCAGTGGCTTTGCCTGGAGAAGAGTCCAGTTCCTTATCTGTAAAAAAGGGAGATAACCGTGAACATAATAGCACCCCACAAGGTCACTCACAGGGGATTAACACAGATAATGCAGACAAAACAGGGTTGGAACCTGAAAGGGCCTGAGGTCTGAGGTGCATCTGTGGTTTTTTTTTTTTCTTCCTTTTTCCTCCCAGTTGCTGAAGACTGTGGTCCCAGGCTGTCAGCCACATCTCTGTGAAGGGAGAAGGGCTGGCTCTTAGAAGGCCATCAGTTCTTCCCCAACTTCTCCTTCCTGGGATGATACAAGTGTGGATGGCGTGTGGTTTGTCTCTGTGAAGCTGATGGTTTGAAGTTGATCAGCTGTCCCTTCTTCTGCCAGGCTTCAGGTCTCCCATGGGCTCAGCCACATCCAGCAGAGTGACTGGCTGTCCTGGCTCTTGATCAGTGACTTGGACAGAGCAAAGGCTCATTGTCCAGCCTTGGGGGCCTTGGGGAGCTAGGTCAGGCATTGTGGGGTTATGAATGGATGATGGATGGTGGCCTTCCCACTTGAACAGCCCTGTGGAGGAGGGCGCATAACCAAGGCTTGAAGTAGAGGCTTTGCTTTAAATTAATTAGTTAGTTTATTAATTTGGTTGGGTTGTAAGACAAAGTCTCACTCCATAGCCCCAGGCTGGCCTCAAACTCTGGATCGTCCTGTTTTGACCTTCAGAGTGCTAACATGTGGCCACCAGGTCCCGGCCACCAGGTCTGCCTCTGTCTCTCATATAGGTGGTTGATGGCAGGACACTCGGCCAGGCTGCTCCGAAGAACCAGTCTCCACACCTTCCGACCTTGTACCCTCGTTGGCCCTCAACTCTTCCATGTGTTCTCACCCCCTTGTTTGCTACCTGCCCTTGGTGGCACGTGATGCCACTCATTTCACCTCTCCCCTCGTTCTGTTCCTGCCCTGTTTTATGACAGTTTCCGAGGTGGCCTGGATGTGACCCACGGACAGACAGGGGTGGAGTCAGTGTATACCACTTTCCGGGACCGGGAGATCATGTTCCATGTCTCTACCAAGCTGCCCTTCACGGATGGTGACACCCAGCAGGTAACCAGCACAGAAGGCAGGGCCAAGCTGCAGGTTGCTTCCACTTGGCAGATGGGACACACAGCCTGGGGGTGGTTGGGTGTTGAAACACTTCCTTGAGGCTCAGGGTGTAGCTCAGTGGTAGGGTACTTGTCTAGCATGCAGGAGGCCCTGGACTCTAGCTCTAGCAGGAAAAGTAGACGTTTCCCCTGGGACGTCAATGAAGGGTCCAGCTGGGAGCCGAGCAAACAGGGCTGATAAACGCTGCTCGGCAGACAGGTCTGCAGATGGGAGCCGGAAGCCGGGAGAGCCAGCTGAGTGGCACGGCTCGCAGCCAGTCAGTGCCTCGTGGGTTCAGAACATGTGGAGTGGCATCTGTGTTAGAAGGCTGCTATGGGGTTCTGTAGGGTTCTGAACAGTGGGCTCCTGTGAGCCATGCCTGGCCTGTGCCTGCTTCTTGTGGAACCTGTCCCCTGCCCTGGCCACTCAGCCCTTCTGCCTCTTTGCTGCCTTGTGCAGTGTGTATGAGAATCTTCTCAGCCTCATTGCCTGTCCCTAACCTGGGGACTCTGTGAGACTTGTGACTCCAGCCTTTGCCAGCTCTCTCCAGGGTAGCTTCTTGGAGCTCCACATCCCTAGGGAGGGCTTGGCTCTTGCAGCTGGTCCTGGCATTAACCACCTTATCCCACTTCTTTCCTCCTTCCTATCTCGGAGAACACAGGAGGGCCCCCTCCAAACTCTGACCTGTTTGTTTCTGCCAGGGCACTGGGAAGGGAGCAGGGATGCAGAATCGTAAACACTGTGCATGGCTTCTTGGGAATAAAAGAAATTGGCAAGTGAATTATGATTTGGCTTCCAAATAATAGCTGAATGTTCCAGAAACACATGGGTGTGGGATTCCTTGGGTAGCCAAAGTGGGTTTTCCCTGGGTGTCTCATCCTTGGTCCCTGTTTTCTTACAGGCTCCCTGACCTACTACCCTAGTCTGAGGCTCGTTACCTCAGGGTCATTTCAGTCTGGCGTGTGCTACAGAGCTTGGCTCTTGGCAGGGACCAAATCAATGATAGTTCTTTTCTCTTAAGAAATGGGCACCCAGCGGTGTGTGTGTGTGTGTGTGTGTGTGTGTGTGTGTGTGTGTGTGTGTGTGTGTATGTGTATGTGTGTGTGTCTGTATGTGTGTGTGTAACAAGTGAGGCAGTCAGTATGTGTAAAAAGTGCCCATTACAATGTCCAGAGCAGAGCAGACACTCTGAATGTGAGAAACTCAGTTTGAAAGGGCTGAGCCCAAGTCCTGCTTTGAGTATACATTTAATAAAAGACCAAATATATGGGTGAGACCTGGTGCACAGGAAGATCTTAACATTTGTCATCATCCATATGAACAGCCATCCACAGTTCCTGGCACGTAGTAGGGGCATGTAGCCTTTATCACATAGCAAAGTGCCTGGCACTGCTGGGTCCTGCCCACTCGGTCTCCCCTAGCCAGTTGACCTGCGTTCCTCTGAGTGTGTCCTCACCTCTGGTGGAATGATTGGTCCCCCCCCCCCCCCGCCTTCTGTCTGCATTTCCTCACCGATCCTGCCCATGTTTTCCAGGATGCCCTCTGCTGCCACCTGCTCTCTGCCCCTAAAGCTGCCAGGTACTTTCTGCCAGAGAGCAGCTGATTTACCCTTGGCTTGCAGCTTGGTTCGTGGGTTCAGGTGGCTTGCCCTGTGTTTGTGTTTCTTCTGGACCAGTTATGCCTGGCCTGACATTCTTACATTCCCTCCAGGGTCCCGAGTCCAGGCTCTGTACGCTGTTGAGTTTAGTTACACTCAGGCCAGCTGTTGTTACCTAACAACCTGGCCTTCTTCCTCTCCTTTCTTCTTGGTAGTTCCCACAGATCGAGAGAAACAGCTCCCCGAAGAGCTGGGCCTCAGAGTTCAGGGTTTACGAAAGGTGGAATAAAGAGGAATTTGTTGTTGAGCTCTTTTCTGTTTAGGGATGGTCCTAACTCTTGTCACAATGAAGTACTTTCTGTTTAGCTGCAGAGAAAGCGACACATTGGCAATGACATTGTGGCCATCATCTTCCAAGAAGAAAACACACCATTTGTCCCAGATATGATTGCTTCAAACTTCTTACATGCCTACATTGTTGTTCAGGCTGAGAGCCCGGGCACAGAGACCCCATCCTACAAGGTAAGGAAGAAGCCTCATTGAGGGGGGGCAGTCATGGACCCAGGTACATCCCTAGGGGTGGTGAGCTCAGTGACAGCAAAAGACACTAGATCTTAGCTGGGCAGTGGTGACACACGTCTTTTATCCCAGCACTCGGGAGGCAGATGCAGGCAGATCTCTGAGTTTGAGGCCAGCCTGGTCTACAGAGTGAGTTTCGCGAAAAACACCAGGTCTAAACAGTATTGCAGTCCTCATGGTTGGTCCGGCTTCCGAGATTTGGAGGCTGGCCCTTGGTGGAAAGCACCTTCTGAGATCATCCCCTCTGTGTATTCTCTAGCTCTTCAGCTTCTCACTCATTGGTCCAGAAGCCCGAGTGCTGAGCTTTGGATATGGTGATAGCATTTGCTAGAGGAAGTCTGAGGAGGAGGAGAGGAGATGGAGAGGATGGACAGGAAAGGGGAGAGAAGGGGGGGGGCAATGGGAAGACCAAGGTTAAAGGGGCCTCATAGACCCTGGCCCCTGCATCTGGATGATGTGGGCAAATGAATGACTTTAATTGGAAGATTTCGATGAGAATGCAAGACCTGGGTGATACTCCTGACTGGGGACTTTTAGTTTTTCTTTCTAAGGTACATGAAAGCTAAAAATGTCACCCTGGTCGCTGGTGGTGATACATGCCTGTAATCCCCAAATCCCAGCAGATGTGGGAGCAGGGGCGCAGGGGATGAAAGTCCCAAGCTGGCCTGCCTGGCCTACATAGTGAGACCCTGTAAAAAATAAAAAGAGGATGAGGAGGGTGTGAAGGGCAAGGTGGATTAAAGAAAGTTGGATTTAGTCAGTGTGTATTTGGTATGCATGTGTGGAAATAGTACTCTAAACTCCATTAATATGTATAGTTAATACATGTTAATTTAAAAAAAAGGGAAGGAAGGGCCACCTGCTGTAATGGGAGGAGTGTGTGGAATACATTAGACTGTTCTGGCTCCCAGCCCTCAGCATCATAGAAACAGGACACATTCCCTTGCCCTCCTCACTGGCAGCTTCACCTCCCTTCTTTTTCCCAACCTCCAGAGCAGCACATCTCTGTGTTCCACTGATTTGAGGGGCCTGGGACTCATGGGAGTTAGGCTGAGTCAGAGGTTTTAGGGTGAGGGCTAGGTGGTCTCCGAGCCACCAAGTAAGAACCAAGCGGCAAGTTTCTGCTTTTCTTTGTTTCCTGGGAAGAGAGACCAGAGTTCAGATTCCCAAAGCATTCCGTGCATCACAGAATGCAGGGTACCAGCATCTGTGCAGGAAGAGAAATGGTCCTCTCAATGCAAATGGGAGAACTGAGGCTGGGAAGGCATACTAGATGCTAACCCAAGGCCCTTGCTGCTTTCCGAGGCTTGCTGTGTCTCGGCCACCGTCACAGCCTTCACGATGGTGACATTTCTGTTTTGTCAATGTAAACCCACATGTAACAAGTGCAAAAGTCATATCAGCTTTTAAAACCAAGTATGAGACATGAAAAAATAGAAAGAAGAAAGGAGTTCTCAGGCTGGGGAGGCAGCTGTCGGTATCGTGCTGCTGTCCAAACACGAGGACCTGAGTTCAGATCCTGCACACCCACATAGAAAGCTGGTGGCATTTGTAATTCCAGCACTGGGATGGCAGAGATAGGAAGATCCCTGGGGTCAGCCAGTTGAGCCAAATAAAGGTTTAGTGAGAGATCCTGTCTGAAAAGATAAGGTGAGAGCCGGGTGTGGTGGCGCACGCTTTTAATTCCTGAACTTGGGAGGCAAAGGTAGGAGGATCTCTGAGAGTTTGGGTCCAGACTGGTCTACAGAGTGAGTTCCAGGACATTCAGGGCTACAGAGATCCTGTTACAAAACCAACCAACCAACCAACCAACCAACCAACCAAAAAACCCAAACAACAACAATATGAAACAAATGTAGAAGGCTCAGTGGGTAGAGGTGTTTACTGGACAAGTCTGGTGGCCCAGGTTTGATCACAGTACCTGTGTGGAGTACCTACTCCTGAAATCTGTCCTTTGATCTCCACATACCCCCTACCCCCATGTGCACACATGTGCACCATCTCCCTGCAGAAACACATACCCCTCCCCCAACAAGTCCATGATAAGCGTACCTCTCCTGTTGAGGTCCATGGGCTTCTTTTATATGCATGGCTCTGTGTGCCCCTCTGACATTGAGCAATCTAGCCTGCTTTGACTGAAATGGGCATTCAGTTTACAGCTGTCTGGTTCATTTGCTGGTAGACACAGGATTTCTTATTCTGTGCTTGCTGTGTGCTGGGAACACGGGATCAAGGAAGATCTGGCTTTGTTGGCCCCAGGTAAGGGACAGAGGAGCCAGTTCAGTCAGGGCAGCATTATAACCACCCTCCCCCTACTGAGGCAGGTTTGGATTTGTGACCCATGCCTGCGTCTTCCAAGGTGCTCCCCAGAGTGCTGCCCACCCAGTGCCCCCCTCCCCCCAGAAGCACCATGGGTGACTCATAAACCGTGAGGAGGACTGGCTGACACCGGGCCTTTGCTGAACCCCACAGGAGGAGGACAAGCAACAAGAAGGAAGAGGAAAGGAGGGAGGGACCCCAGACAGAGCGGCACAGCAGCCTGGGGTCTCTGCTTCTGGTCCCGTCTCCTTGTGGCTGTGTGATTGTTGTGTCCTGGCCTCGGTGTCCCTCTTTGCAAGACAGGAAAGCTGGATTGTATAACCTCAGAGAGCCTTCTAGCCCTGGCCATTTGTGGGAGCAGAGACAGAGGCAGGGTGGGGTGTGGGCTGCCAGGTGGATTGGGGCACTCTGTATTTAAGGTACCCTTTTATATATGTAGTCCAGGGGGGGCAAGTGAAGACAAAAAAACTGAATGATGGTGGTTCCTGCTATGTGCCAGACTCTGCATTACAACAGTCTTCTTTTTCTACGTTTATTTGTGTGTGAGTGTGTAAGAGTGTATGTGTGAGTGTGCATATGGAAATCAAAGGCCAACTTGCAGGAGTCAGTTCTTTCTGTCTACAATGTGGCTCCTGGGGATTGAACCCAGCTTGTTGGGTTTGGCGGCAAGTGCCTTTACCCACTGAGCCATCTCACTAGCCCTTGAATAGTCTCCTTGAAGCCTAACAAGGCCCATCAGCCTGCTCATAGGGAAGAGACTAAGACTGATTGCTGCTGAGGGCACTTAAAGCTGAGGCCACAGAGCCAGGGAGCCTGGAGCTGGAAGTCTTCCCAGGAGCCTTTGGGGCAGGTGAGAAACCGGCTCCATGAGTGTGCGTGAAATGTGACACTGAATTGCTTTCCAGGCAATAGTTCCCATCACTCTAGATTGGAAAGAGATTCCAGCTCAGCAATCAATGGGATCCCCCATCCCTACCCCTCAGGGGCCATCCCACCTGACTCCTGAAGTTCTACCAAGGTTCCAAGGCTCTTCTGTGAAGCAGGCAGCTGGGGAGGGCCTTCCCCTGCCCATCACGACTCCTTCTGAACAACCCTACCAGTGGTTTGGTTGGCAGGCCATACCTGGACATGGAGGGTGGGCCTTCGCTGGGTCTCCAGCCCTTACTCTCTCAGTCCCCATATTGAGCTTCTTCTGGCTTCAAAGATACTTCCCCAGACTGTCCTGCCCCTGCTTCCGCCCAGCCCATGCCTGCTTTAGATACAGGAAGGTCAACACAGTGTTTCTGCTTTCGGAAGCAAGTTGAGAGGAGGGGGCAGCAGAGGCTTAGCTGCCTGGGATGACTGAGGTCAGAGGAGGAGCTGAGGATGGTTGATGGATGGACACCACCAGAAAGGACTTGGATCCTGCCCCTGCTGACCTGTGGACTTAAGGGCACATCTGAGCCATTTATGTGTGCTCAAGTCTGCCAGCACAGACTACTTTAATGCAGGCCTGAGGAAGAGGGACCAGGCCAGGGGAAACAGCTGGGCCAGCGTCTGAGCTTTGTCCCAAGTGTCCCAGATACCCACTATGGGCAGCCAAATTCTCGCTCCAAGATGGAATTCTAGACTTAGGCCACCAATGCGTGGTAGGTGGATGGATGGGGGGGCAGCTGTGTCTGGCAGCTGGGGCTCAGCCAGAATCTTGTCAGTGAACACTAACCATTTCTTGACTCTGAGTGCCTCAGTTTGGGCCATGCCGACAGCCTTGAGCTTGTAGGAAGAATGCCCCATTGACCGAGGCCCTGCTTCTTTCCCTCTGGACCTGGCAGGGCCTTGTTTTGGCTGGGCCCCAGGCTGCCTGCTCATCCAGTCTGGCAGACTATTGCATCTGCCCTACTTCACAGGCCAGAGCGGTTGGCAGCATGCCAGGGCCGGCACGTCAGCCACTGCTAGTGAGGGAATAGGGCAGCCTCCCCAGAGCCCTGTAGCCTCGGGGGCTGACAGCAGGTAAAACCAAGAGAGTTGCATGCCGAGAGGAGGTGAGGAGTGGAGCCTGCCTGCTCCAGGACCTTACCTTATGCAGAGTCCCCGGACGTCCTGACAGCCCAGCCTCACAGCATCTGGCTGGAGCCTGGCTGGCCCCCATCCTCCTTCCCAGCCAATGCCTTTGGTATCTGTGCTCAAGCCTCAGCCAGACTGACTGACTCTGTATGTAGGGCCAGGCTCCAGACCTGGGTCCACTGCTGTGGCAATGCTCTCAAGAGCCCCAGACTCTTTTTGCAACCAGTATTTATTATTTTTCCAAAAACTTAAATCATTTATTGTTGTTATAGTAGTAGTAGTAGTAGTAGTAGTAGTAGTAGTAGTAGTAGTAGTAGTAGTTGTTGTTGGGGTGTGTGTGTGTGTGTGTGTGTGTGATGTGTTGGGGGAACACAGACACATCTATGGAGGTCAGAGACCACATTTGGGAGTCAGTTCTCTTCTGGGGACCATCAGGCTTGTGTGGCAGTTTTTTTTTTTTTTTTTTTTTTTTTTAACCCGTGGAGCTATCTCTCTGGCCCAATATTTACTTTTTAAACACTCAAAGTGAGTTTGATATATGATCAGGTTTGGGGGTCACTATAGTGGGGAAAAACCTCAGAGCTGTGTTGGAGTGGTCTGGATTCTCTGTGCCCCTTTCCCTGGTTTTGGGGTGCTTGTTCCATACCCCAACCATCTGTTTCCTCATCATTAAAATGGGAAGTAGTTCTCAGTTGCCTTCCCTGGGATGAACACGGCAATGGGGTATCGAGATAAACCTCCTGGCCACCCGCACTGTCTTGTAATCAGGGTCCCAGCCATTCCACAGCCCAGGGCATCATCTTGCCAAACTTACTTTTGGCCCCTAGAAAGGCAGAAGGAAGGGTGTAGGCTTCTATCCCATCCAGTGCACTAGAGGAGCATCATTTGGGTTTTGTGGGTGATGCTCACACAGACATTCTACCTGTGTTCTGGGAGGAAGGGGAGGGGTGAGCTGGTCTGCTGTAAGGAGTGGGACTCCTCTTCTGTCTTAGCCCATGCCAGACTGTTTCATTCAGGTATCAGTCACTGCAAGGGAAGATGTTCCTGCCTTTGGCCCCCCTCTGCCAAGCCCACCTGTTTTCCAGAAGGTAAAAACCTCTTCTTCCATTCTCGTCACACTCAAGACCCCAGATCTCCCCACCTGAGTGTCAGCGATTGGAATGGGATCGCATGTAGACTTGGAGGCATTGTCAGGGAAGTCCTGTTAGAGCTCTCGGGATATCTCCTTCCTGGGTATCTGCCTACCTCACCCTTGGGGCCAGTCTGGCCCTTGTTGGGAGTTTCATGATAGGGTTGTCTTCCTGTTAGTAGAAGGGCTTTCATACTGTGCTCCAGGCCAGGCACCAGTGGCAGGTATTGCCTACAGTAGCGAAGGTGCCATATGGAGGGTGGGAGCCAGCACCAGGGAAGCTGGCTTCCATGCTGGTATATTAGCAGGTGGGGCTGGCCTTGGCTGGATATGACCGGATATGAGAAGGGCTCTTTCAGGGGCTGACCCCATACCCCCTGTTCTGCCTTTCTGTTACTGTGGTTGGAAGCATTTTGTCTACAGCAGAGGCTGGGAGAATTCTGAGCCCTCTTATCTGTTTCAGGGTGCAGAATTCCGGGAGTTTCTGCTCACCAAGCTCACAAACGCAGAGAATGCTTGCTGCAAGTCGGACAAGTTCGCCAAGCTGGAGGTGAGAGTGCCAGACTGAAAGTCTCTTCTGGGCTTGCTCTTCGCTTCTTTCAGGGGTCTCACCATGGCGCTTGTTCAATTAGGGAGCCTTTTGCTCCCTCCTAAGCCCTCAGCTCTGTGTTGCTTTGGGAACTCTTTTTTTTTTTCCTTCTTGGTGGGAACTCATCTAGATTCTCGGTCTCACCAGCCAATCACTAGTTGTTTACTGAACATGTATTATGCTCAGGTCTTGTTCTGTTGTCAGGGATAAGTGGGACATTACTTCTGCGGCAATGGAGTGCACAGGCCTGGACTGAAGAGAAACTATGGTTTATAATGCAGTGTACTGTATTACACTCTGGGCTGTGATGGAGGCAGTGGACAGTGATTGCTTCTGCTAGGGAAGGTGGAGGGTGTGCTCAGGGAAGGCTTCCTGGAGGAGGTTGCTTTGGAACTGCTGAATCTTGATGTCTGATGAAGCTTTCACGTGAAGAGAGTCTGGGAAGGCATTCCAGACACGGAGAACAGTCAAGGGCCAAACAGAATCAGACTTTCTGGGGTGGGAGGTGTGGCCTGCCGGCAGCCTCATGTGGCTGGAGGACGGGACTCAGCTGCAGATGGTGGTTGAGTTAGATGGAGAAGGGTCGGGCTTACAGGTGGTGTGGGTGCTATGAAGTTCTTAAGCAGTATTTGATTCGCATGTTGGAGGCATCATTAGCCAGTGGGTGTTAGAGGAGGAGAAGGGGTTGAAAGGGAGCTAGGGCAGGAAACTGGCCAGTTAGAAATGATTAAAGTCTAAGAAACTCATCAGAGGGGAACATTTCACGGGAGGTACTGGGTAATACTGCGGGTAGGGTTGTCCAGCCAGAGGCCTGCCAGCCTCAGGGGCCCCAGGATAGCCATGAATGTGTTCCAAGACAAAAACCATAGACTAGTAAGTATAAAACATCATGAATTTCCCCCCTGGTAACCTGACTGTGCAGTTCTTATAGAGGACAGCGTCACGTCACAACGTCAGAAGGTTGGACATTCCTCTAAAGTCAGGGATGGGAAGACACTCCTAGAAATAAGGATGGGAAGAGTGGAATTCCAGGACGACACAGACTGTCAGCTTAGGCTCTGTGGTGACGACTGGGAGAGGAGCTTCGTTAGGACTGTGACCTGGAGAAAGGGCTTGTCCATTCTGTGTGTATGGAGCCCCCTGGAGGCTGCATGCATAACCCCGGCTGATACCTGGCTGATAGAGAGCCATGGGCAGAGAGGCTGGGGATATAGATCTTGGTCTGAGATCTGGACTGGGCGTCCCCAGGGCAAGCCTTGGAAGAGGTGGTATGGCCAGGGAGAGTGAGAGCAGGGGCTGGCCCGGAACGTCTGTGCTACCTGCTGTGTCAGTGAGCATGAAGTTCAGGTTCGTCTAAGACCCCACCACGGCCAGGAGCTGGTGACAGAATAGCAGCCCTCAGACCAGGCATCTGGAACCCAGAAGGAAGTACACAGGTTGGTGTCTGCACTCTGTGTATACCTTTCCTTTCTAGGACCGGACCCGGGCTGCTCTCCTGGACAACCTTCATGATGAACTCCATACACACACTCAGGTCATGCTCGGCCTAGGCCCTGAGGAGGACAAGTTTGAGAATGGGGGTCATGGAGGATTCTTGGAGTCTTTTAAGGTATGGACACAGGCTAACTTGGGGTTACTGCGGCAGAGGGCAAGGCAAGCCAGTCGCTAAGTTAGTGGGAATATGGCCTCAGAGCCCAAGGGCCAGTTAGAGGTGACAGGATGGGGTGGGACTTTGCAGAGGGCTGGGGCATTGTGTATATGAGGTTGGGGCAGCTGGCAAGGACTCCAGTGACCTCCATGCTCTCTGCCTTGGCCTGGACCATTGTCAGCCCGGGAATCCTCTGAGCAGGCACGTGAGTGGGCAGAGGAGAGACCACATGAACTAAGAAACTCGCTGTTTCCCCCTGTCTCCCTCTGTGGTCGGGGAGCCCAGGGAAGAATGGTGGGATGAGGTCACAGCCTTGGGGTCTTCAGTAGCTGGCTGGGGTGCTACATGAGTCTTCCTTGCTGGCAAAGTCCTGGGACCTGGCTGGGGGTGGGTGGAGCCACAGGCAAGTCTCTCTAGCATTGAAAAGGGCTGAGTTTTATCTCGGAGGAGCTCCCTGTCCCCAGAAGTATGCAGATGGAGCCTGGATGGCCACAGAGCCAGTGAGGGGCAGAGAAGGTTTCTCTATCATGTCCTGGTTGAGTGCTTGCCGGTCCACACTTATGTTGGTGTCTCATTTGAACCTGATTGTAATGGTGTGCCTTTGGCTAGATAGTATTTCTCAGTCTCTCCTTTAACACAGGGTGGGGTGGTGGTGCTGGAGGGCAAGCTACAAGAGACCACAGGGTCTCAGGACCCTGCACCTCAGAGGTGTGGCTTTGTTCCCACCTAGACTTTCTCAAGGTTCTGTCAGGTTTCCCTCCCATCAGAGAGAGAGCCATAAACAGGACATTTTAAGGCCGCTATTAGGATCGGGATTACATGTATTTAAAAATCCCAGCTATAGTGTAGTAGGCAAGGTCTTTAAAGTCCCTAAGCCACAGTTTTCTTGCTAAGGACCCAGAGATAATAAATCGGACCTCTGTCGCTGTGTTGTGAGAGTTCATTGGAATAATGCCCGGAAATTGCAGATTGCCTATGACACAGTAAATACCCTTAGCTGTTGTAACAGGGCACACATTAACCATGCTGTATAGGTTACATATAATCTTAAACCTCCTAACTGTCATTAGCGCTCTGTGGGGGAAGGCTGGCATTATGGATATAATAATTTTGACATAAGAATTCACACTCAGTTTTAGTAATTGTGAGTATTGTCTCACATGTGAGGAAACAAAGACACAGAGACTAAGTAATTTGCCCCAGGTCACCTCGGAGACAGAGTTGAATTCAGATCTCCTAAATTCTTACCAGCTACATGATACTCCCTCCCAGGTTCTGACCGGGAAGATTCCACCCCAGCCGGTCAGGCCCGGGCAGGTCTGGGTCAGCTGTGCACTGCCCGGCTGGACAGCTGAGAGCAGGGCATAGCTCTGCTGGCCTTAGCCAGCTACTGAGACTCCTCCCGGGGTGGGAGGAGCCAAGCTGCTTGTCCAGGCTGGTGGGAGATTCCTGGGGCTTCTGGTTTAGTCTTGATAGAAGTGTCCGTGAAAGGGAAGTGGCCGTGAAAGGGAGAAATCTGGGGAATTAGATGCAAGAGGAGCTGGGTGTGGAGGTGCCTGCCTGTGTCCCCAGCATTTGGGAAGCCAAGGCAGGAGCATGATGAGTTCAAGGATGGGTTGGGCTACATAGTGAGACTCTGATATATATATATATATTTGGTTTTCCGAGACAGGGTTTCTCTGTGTAGCTTTGGAGCCTGTCCTGGAACTCACTCTGTAGCCCAGGCTGGCCTTGAACTCACAGAGATCCGCCTGCCTCTACCTCCCGAGTGCTGGGATTAAAGGTGTGCGCCACGCCCGGCGACTGTTTGATTTTGAGAAAAGTGAAAATAAAGGGTAGAGGAGAGAAGGAGCAGAGATGGGAGAGGGAGCCATGGTAGGTAGATAGCTTCACCAAGAGGAGGGTGAATGTGAGATTAGCTAATAGGGAACAGGCTTGGGCCTAGGGGAGGCAGAGGAGCAGCCGCTTAGAGGCCTTCTGAGGCTCTGGGGGCTCTTAGAGGCCTTCTGAGGCTCTGGGAGGGGGAGCCCTGCCCCACCCACCTCATGTCACACCTCTCAAAGTGTTCCACCTCCTACAGTAGATTAATTTACGTAGAATGACCTGAACTGAGCTGTGCTTGATAAGCTAGCAGGATGCTGTGTTTTGCAGACATTTTATGAAGCATTTGTTGCTTTTTACTCGTTTCCTTTTTTACTTTAGAGCTAGTTTTTTCCCCCCTTCGGCTTTCAAATATTTATGTGACATTGTATGTAGGCGGTGGACATTCTGCCCATGGGGTTCAATGGATGAGGTGGCCCAGCAGCTAAATACAGGTGACAGATTTAAAAGATAGTGCCTCAAGGCCATTCCCCCAGTCTCTTGCATCTGTTCGGAGTAGTAGCAGTTGGTGTGTTTCACTTCAGGTGTCTGAGGTATCCCTAGAGAGGCTTTCAAGAGAGGGCATACTGCAAGACTCTACTGTGACTGGCCTGCGAGCCAGTATTCCAGAGACTTCTTTTTAATTCTGTGGTTGAGGACAGACATGTTTTTTTTCCATTCAGAGTTCACGTCTGCCTTTGAGGTTGTGAGAGGGTGGGAGTCAAAGGGGTCATCAGGGTCAGGCACACAGAGTGAACCCTTGGACCGAGTGTTTCTCTTGCTCTGGAAGGAGACCTTGGCTTCTCCTGTTGACCTCTTCAGTGTTGATCCAGGTCTCCCACGTGGAGAGACCTGGGCAAGGGGGCAGGCATGGCCCTGGCCCAGTTCAAGAGTTCATCTCTAGTTTTTTTTTTTTCCTCCTTACGAGGGCCTTAGGCAGGCTTGTGGTGTCAGAATTATTGACATTTCTTTTGGGATTAATCCTGGACCTCTGTGAGATCTCTTCAGAATGAAAGGTTGTCTGCAATGCTGCCTGAAAGAAAATGCCTGGGTTGAAAGTTCTCTCACAGGCAGATGCGAACTGAGGATGCTCGGGGCTGAGCGTCACCCCAACACCTGTCCCCTTCAGACTGGTCTTCTCCAGAGGGTCAGAGCCCAGAAGCAGACCCACTGTGACCGTAGGCTGAGCATGCCACGTGGGGTGGTTCTTCACGTCTCACTTCAGTTCTGGCTGTGAGTGGAAGCGCCCCTCCATGAGACACATACCAGTTGCTTTATGGATCCCTAGATCTGCTTGTAAACTGAGCTGCCTGGAGGAGTCTCAGGACCTGCTAGGTCTACTGACATTTGGAAGTTTTCATTTTCATATAGATGACGATCTAAAAAACCTACACCTTTCTAGTGAAAAAGTCTCGTCCTTTGCAGTGATGACTTGGATGAAAGATGTTTCCATGGCTCAAGCGGGTGGCTGCGGCCATGCTCTTGGAAACTTGCAGAGTTTTGTTTTTCTGATAAAAGAGCTGTGTATCACTCCCTTTTTGGAAGGTACTTATCCCTAGACTGCTGGTCTGTAATGAAGTAAAAAGAAAAAGTGACAGTTGATTTGTCTGTGTGTTAAGCGTATAGCACATACAGGCCATGGTTTGAGAAAACACTTGACTGGCCCAACCCTCCACTGACCTCATAATGTGGAGGCAAGGAATAGAAGACAACAGGACAGGATTGGGACCACAAGGAACAGAGAGGCAGCAGGCTAGCTTCTCTGACCCTTTGAGGAACTAGGTGGTGCATTGGTCTTACCTGACACTGGGTGGCAGGAGAGGTCCTAGACATCTCTGGCAAAGTCTTAGGGGGTCCTGTAGCCACAGGCAAGGGCAGCCTGAGTCACATCAGTGATGGTGGAGGGAGCACAGACCCCAGCCTTTGACATCTCTGTCACCCCCTTTTCCCCTGAGAGAGTCGTGGTACCAGGATGGTTGCATGCCATTGGTGGTACACACACATTTGCACACACACACACACACACACACACACACACACACACACACACACGGAGGCGGGTAGGAGAGGACAGGGGAACACTCAGGCCTTGGGCTTGGCTCTGCTCAGCTCATGGCTTGGAGCCATAGACTATGAGTGAGCTGCTAGCATGTCCCTGCTGGAGGAACGGAAGACCCTGACTGAAGCCGTCTCAGCATGCGGGAGGTCAGTGTCTTTGTCTCAGAGGCCCCTGCCTCGGTTCCTTACTGGGCTTTGGGTGGGCATGACCTACCTGGTGCTCATCTCGTTAATTTTTGTCCCGATGTTGAGTTGTTAAATGGGAACAACTAGCAAACTCTTTTGTAAGGGGGCCATGGGGCTGGTGGCTAGGAAGCGGCTTGTTCTGCGACGCCAGCTGGGGCTGAGACGATGGCACACACGGGTGATGGGAAAGCAGTGCATTTCATCGTCCTCATGGGAGAGCTTGCTGGAAGGCAGCGGTGAGGTGTGCCGAGGGCTAGGAGGCCACAGGGACCGAGGGAGATTGGTGGAGCCAGAGTGATGGGCCAGGAGGACAGCAAGGGACAGTCATGTGAAATGATAGGAAAGGCCAGCCCAAGACGGCAAGGTTTAGAAATTTAGGTGAGAGACCAGTTATGTCCACACAAGAGCTTTCCATGGGTCAGGCCACCCACTACGAGAATGAGCGGCCGGTCCCTGGTGGACACAAGCCGGGGTCAGGTGAGCTTTGCCAGACAGGGCTGAGCAAGCGTGAGTCCCACTAGTCCCAAGGCCTCCTGCACAAAGGCTTCCGTGATGTCCCCTTCCCTGCCTTTCTCGTCCCACTGCCGCCCCCTCCCCTCTGCCCCCCTCTCTCCCCCCCTTTTGTCTCGCTCCCTGGCCCTTTCGTTCAGTTGCTCATTGTACTGTGAAATTCTTCAGATGTCACCAGACAGTTCCATTCAAGGCAAGCATGGTTTTGGGTCTCAGCGATGGCTCTCACTTGTCTTTCACACTAAAATCCGGGCAGGAGAGCTCACCGGAGTGGGCAGGTGTCATCCCAGGTGTTGGCTGCACACTGTCTCATTTCATCCTTGTGACAGCTCCTCCGGCAGGGCCTGGGAGAACCAGGACTCCACCTTTCCTGCTGCCCAGAGCGGGAGAGCAGGTGACTGACAACCCGCCCAGCCCTGGAATTCCGTCAGCTTATTGGCTCCTCAGATTCTCTTTGTTGACTCTGACAGTGGCACATGGGCATCGTCCCTGAGATCGGCCTTTGAATTTTTTTCTGAGAGTGGGCCGCCTAACCTCCTGCTTTCCAGCCCTCTTTAGTTAATCAGTGAATCCCTCCATCTTGCCCTTCCCCTCCATCTCCTCACTCTCTCCTTCTCCCACCTCTCTCTCCCGCTTCCCGGTCTCTTTCCCTCTTCCTCTTCCCCTCTCCTCCCTTCCCCATTCCTCCCTCTCCTCCTCTTCTCCTTCCCCCCATTTTTGGAGACAGGACCTTACTATGTAGCCTAGGCTGGCCTCGACCTCTCAAGCCCCCCAAGTTGCATGGATTACAGGCATCCACTACCATACCCAGCTTTTGTATTTTCAATCTTAGGGCCTGGTATACTAGATTTGGATCCCAACTCTGTCTCTTACTGATGTGTGACATTTATTTATTACTTGAGAGACTTTTCTATTCTCTCTATACCTGAGTGTCTTTGTCTCAGAGGCCCCTGCCTTGGTTCCTTACTGGGTTTTGGGTGGGCATGACCTACTTGGATTCGGCAAGATTGTGTATGGAGGCTCCTTAGAGCAGATACACTGCACATGGCTTACTATTCATACTTGGATCCTTTCTGAGAAAGAGACAATGAGGACCAGATCAGGACTCAAATGAAGAGTGTGAAATGTTGGTGACCCTAGCAGTGGTGGGACAAGGAATGAGCATATAAAGATGCTGGCATTTATGAAATATTAATGTCATTTAAGGAGCCTTTTTCCCCCATCTAAGGACATATCAGATATTTTCAGGTTCCAAAGAGTACATGGCTCTATGACGCTTGGGCGGCAGAATGAATCAAACATGCTGGCTCTTGCAACCATGTCCCAGGAACACTGTTGCTAGGCAACTCTTTTGTGGTCCAGAGAGGGGAGAGGTGACATTCCTCATGGGGCATCTTTGATTCAGACAATAGAGGCTACAAGATGTCAATTTGAGGCCGACAGTCCCACACCTCATTGTTGGTGGTTTGTCTTGAGGGCGGTTCCATATACCAGCAGCCTCTCTGAATCTCTGTCCCTTGTCAGAGGGAATGGCATTCAGGACGAGGCCCTTTGCCAATCCCAAGTCTCAAAGGTGTCCCTGGGGTCCTGAAGAGCAGTATTTGTGCCAACTTGGAACTCTTCCTGGATGTCTCAAGGGAAGGACGGGGGCTTTGCTTTTCCTGTGGAGAGATCTGTTAGTGGGCACATGGGTTGTGTGTACATGACTGAGTCCAGAAAGGAGGGGGTGGGCTGCAACTTAGTCCGTATGTTTCCTGATGCTAGGGTGACAAGCTCACACCCTGGTGAAGAAAATCCACTAATTACTGGAGCAGGAAGTCCAGGTGACTGGCTCAGTTGGTCAGAGCACCCACCTTCTTTCCCTCCTTCCCCTGTGTGGTCCTGGGCTCTCCAGCTTTGTCGTCAGGCTAGGCCTCCCAAATGGCTCTTTCAGGTGCGTTTTCCCCAAAGCCACCAGCAGACATCCCTCCCGTTTCTCTAGCAAGGGATGAGTTAAACAAGTACTTTAAACTGAGCATGGGTACTTTGCATCCCGGGAAGGAGGAGGAGACACTGGAATGGATGTTGGTCCTGCTGATTAGAGTTTGGTGCCTGTACTTGAGCCGCTAATAGTACAGGTGTCTAGGAGCCTTGTTCTTTGGGCCCCAGAACAACTGATTGACACATAGGGACCATCATCACAGACACTGGAGCTTGCATTATAGCCTACTCTTAGGAGTGTTCTTTGGGCACTCTTTGGACTCAATTCCCCTTTGGCTTCAATACCACATTTCTAGCATTTTGCATGATGCTGAACGTACAGAAAACACGTTGTGCTTAATAGTAACAACACCATAAGCTGTATTTGTGATGCACTGGGCTCTCTCTTAAGAGCTTTATATGTTCTTATTGCTACTCCCTGTGTAGACAGGTCCTATCCCATTCCACGTAACTCTCAGAGAAGCTAAGCAACCTGCAGGGTCCCCAGCTAGCAGGCGGTGCAGCAGAGAGCCCAGGTATTACTCCTGGTAACAGCAGCTAAGACGTTTGTGCTTTTGATCACTGGGTTGTGTTGTCTGTTGTGTGCCATCTTGTTGAGAAACTGGATGGATGGTCAGAGGGCAGTGATGCAAGGGCTTGGGGTCACTGGAGGAAACCTCTGCAGTACACCTCGGCTTTAAACGCTCTGTAGCAATTGAGAGTGTTCTCCTTGGGGGAGCCAGGATCCTGCAGCACTTCTGTTGGTTGGAAGGCCTCCTGTAGATGGAGCTGAGTTCCAAGCATCATAAACACCCCGCTTTGACCCTGTGCAGAACAGCATTGCCCTCTAGAGAAGTCCAGGGAGGGATTGTCACCCCAGGTCCAGCTCTTCCAGGGTCCCACTCAGTGTTCTTATAGCTTAGCTATTCTCATTTTCTCATGCACCATGACAAACCTGACTGTCCTGGTTGTCATTGGCTGGACACTTAACAGCTTGCCGATACCCACCCCACCCCACCTTGCCCATCCTTTGCTCTTTGCTGGCCACGAGTGAACACAAGGTTCCACAACCCCAGCAGCCCCTGCCTGTGACCAATCTGAGCGCATATCTCTTTGAACAGCTGTGCAGACCTGTAGTGTTGATTTGGAAAGTGTGTCTTCAGCTTCTGCAAGCCCAAGTGAGGGCAAGCTGTAGCTCCAATGCACGGACGTGCCGGAACTTGTTCCAGGGTTCTACATCAAGGGTGACTGTAGACACACAAGGCACACCAGTGATAACGGTGGGAAGAGCAGTCCAGCATACACTTAGGAGAAGCTTAGCTTTGTGAACCCAGGAACGATGTGCGGTTGATGATGTAGCTCGGTGGTAGAGCTCTTGCCCAGCATGAGAGAGATCCTAGGTCCATTCCTCAATGCCACACCAGAAAATCAAAATCAAAATAAAAAGGAGTCAGTGTTCGGTCTGGCACTTGTGTTCAGTCCCCATCTTGTGTGGAATGTGTGACAGTCATTTTTACAGACAAGGAAGCTGTAACCCAGAGATGTGGAGTTGCTAACTAGACAGTGTCATTGAGGTTTGCTGAGCTCCAGGCCTTTCTTCCCCTCCCATACAAGGAGGATACCAAGTTGGCCCACCTTGCACCACTGAGCCCTCAGACCCTGCCTGGACAGAATTCAGAGGACTCTGTGAATACCAGTTACTGAGGTGTGGGCTTTGTGACTGTGTGCCTGCTCACGCTAGTGTGTGCATTGAAGATGTACACGTGAGCCCAGGAGAGAGCCATCTAGAGGGACCAGGGACTGACCAGGACTCTCAGACCTTTGTCACACCCCATCTCTTGCAGAGAGCCATCCGTGTGCGCAGCCATTCCATGGAGACCATGGTGGGTGGCCAGAGGAAGCTGCATGGGGGCACCATTCCTGGCAGCCTCAGTGGTGGTATTGTCCACAACAGCATGGAGGTCACCAAGACCACCTTCTCAGTGAGTACTTTGGATCCTGGGCCAGCATGTGTGTGGCGGGGGAGGAGTAGGGAGGAAGGGTGTGTCTCACCCCAGGTTTGGGCTGGGCAACTTCAGCAGGGCAAGCTGGATGATGGGCTGGGGAACAGTGGAGCTGCTGAGGAGGTAACCCAGCCTCTGCTCGATGACAGTGGGCCTGTGACGCTTCCATGCCGAGTACCCCTGGGGTTGGTTTGTACTGTGGATTGTGCACTGTGTCTGTTTAAGAACTGAGCTTGGGGGCTTATGAGGGAGACCCTATTAATGACAGCTGTGGCCACCCCAGCTTGCTCTGCACCAGGCACTGAGCTGGTGATTGACACACAAGACCCCACCTGATCCCCATCACGGTTGTTTGAACAGACATGGGGGCACCCTCCATCCCACACATTAGGGAAAGGAGGCCCAGAGAGGTTAGGAAACTTACTAAAGTCACCCAGCTAAACTGAAGATCTGGGATTTGAAAGCAGGACTTCCTGATACAAAATTTAGCCTCCTCCTACTGTGTGTTCAGTTCTCAGGGAGAGACAGCCCCGTGGGTCTGTGAGCTTAGGCCTCTTGTCTCACACCAAGGGCGGGTGAGGGAACCCCATAGCCAGCCATTAATAAGGCAAGTGGCTTTTGACTTGTATGGACTGGAATTTTCTTTGAAAAAATTTTTGAATAGCAGCATAGAGCCATCGAGATGTTGACTTTTTATTATAAATGGCCTTGAGCAATGGCTTGATTTATCTAATGCTTTCCTATCTATTATCTTGTTTCTCTCAGAAGGTCCTATCAGCAGAGCAGGGTGATTTCCTGTGGATGAGGAAGCTGAGGCCCAAAGAGTTTGACCATTCTCCCGAAGAGACACAGCACCTGAGTGGCACTGGGGGATTGGCATCGGCATTGGCAGGCTCCAGGCTTTTCTGCCTTCTGGCTCAGACTTTCACCCGTGTGCCTCTTTCCCGCCATGAGGCTGGGGGATTGTCAAGCAGAGACCTTGGCCAGCTCCCCACTGCCATCAGTGCCTGTGGACTCAGCTAAGAGGCTTTTATTTGGTCTGTTATCGCCACTCTTGCCTGGGTCCATTTATTCACAAGCAGTGATGGCGAGTCAGGACCTCTAGATCCTTATTGCTAGCTGACCCTGACACATCCCTCCAATTTCTGGTCCTTGGCTTTCTCAATCGCAAGGTGAAAGGTGGCAGCTGACCACTCCCAGGGCTCTCTAGATTTTTCAATCCGTGATTCCCCTAAATCGTCCCAACCAGCTCGGCATCTGGCCCCCCTGTGATGAGCCTGTGATCCTCCAAGAGTTCTAGGCTCTGTTAGATCATTGCCTGCTGCCATGGGCTTGGCTTTACAACAGGAAAGAGGCTGTGAGTGACTCAAGTGTTGGGGTCTCAGCTCCTTGCTGTTTTCTGGGGTCTCACCAGGCCAGGAGTCCTGTGCAGACCAGAGAAGGGGTGGGAAGGAAGGGGTGGGCACGCGTACTCACTGTGGCGGTTTTATCGGCAGCCTCCAGTGGCCGCGGCAACCGTGAGGAACCAGTCACGCAGCCCCATCAAGCGGCGGTCGGGCCTCTTCCCCCGCCTGCACTCGGGCTCTGAAGGCCAGGGGGACAGCCGGACACGATGGTAACTGTCAGGGCCTGGACTCCATCCCAGCTGTGGGGCCTGTCAGCTCTCTTCTTATGGCTGTCAGGTGCCCAAGCATGGGGACAGGTTTTCCTAGTGTCAGGCTTCCCCTGAACCCTGGCTTCACTACCTATACATCCTGTCACTTGTGTTTAGCAGAGAGGCGCTGACTGGAGAGCTGGGCAGTGATGGGGAGAGTTGCTGATGTAAAGACATTGAACAGATCTGTGTGATTGCTCAGAGAGGGTGTGCAGAGCCCCAGTGTTCACAGACGAGTAGAAGATCAAGGGCTGACAAAGACAGCTGGGAGGGAAGGGAGAGGCCGCACTGCACAGGGCGTGTGGGGTCTCTAAAGACAGGAGGGGAGGAGCTCCTGTGGTGTCTGTCACAGAGGCAAGTTTGTTGTGTGAGCCAACCTCGTGGGTTGATAGGAGCAACCAACAGTGCATGATGGGAGAGTGGCTCAGGGTGTAGTGTTGCTGGGCAAGTACGGGGATGTGGGTTTGGACCCCCGGCATCTGTATAAGAAGCTGGTGTGGTGACAGGAGGACCCCTGGAGCTCTCAGGTCAGCTGGTGGCTCCAGGTTCAATGGGTGACTGTCTCAGAAAACGAGGTGGAATGTGATGGAGGACCAAACCCCACCATGTTGTCTTCTGACCTCCATGGGCACAGGCAGTTGAAAGCACCTGCACATACATGTGCACACACACACACACACACACACACACACACACACACACACACACGCGCGCGCGCGCGCGCGCGCATGCACACACACAGAGTTTCTACAGCCTTTAGCACCTCTAGGGTGCCTGTGATTGTAAAGGTAAATAACAAGTGCTGACGAGGATGTGGGGGTGTTGGCACATTTGCACGTTGCTGGTGGGGATGTGAGATAGTGCATCCGATTTGGAAAACAGTCTGGCAGCCCTCCAAGGGCTAAACATAGAGTTACCACAGGACCTAGCAACCCCACCCTTAGGTGTATATAGAGAGACCACGAGAACTGGAAATGGTTGTCCATAACAACACAGGCACCTTGAATAGGTGCAGCGTCATTCATGGGGCCTCAAAGAGGAAGCAACTGAAGGGCCTGCCGTCTGACGACTAGAGAAGGAAAATGAAATAAGTATACCCACAGAGTGTAATATTGTTTTGTAATACACAGTGAGTACTGAGATACTGATGCAGGCCACAACATGGGCAAACGTTGAAAATGTGAGGCTAGTAGCATCCAGATGTGAAGGCCATGTACATTGTCAAGTCCTGTTTCTATAGGGTGTCCAGACTAGGCAAAGTCCACAGAGACGGAAAGAAATAGGTTAGGGGTTGGGGTGGGCAGTGATTGCAGATGAGCCAGGGTTTCTTTTAAGAGGCCTTAAAATGATCTAAAGTTAGATTGTGGTGATGGCTGCACAATTCCACGAGCATATTAAAAATTGTGTCCTTGTCCACTTTAAATAGATGAGTTGCGTGGCACGTGTATTATGCCTCATTAAAGCTGCTGCTGTAAAAGGTGCGCTGAAGGGCTGGAGAGATGCTCAGCGGTTAAGAGCGTGGGCTGCTCTTGCAGGGGACCTGGGTTTGGTTCCAGGCATCCACACGGAGGCTCACAACCATCTGTAACTCTAGTTTCAGGGGATCCAGTGCTCTCTACAGACCCATGAGTACACCAGGCATGCATGTGATGCACATACATACAGGCAGGCAAACACACATAAACAATAAATAAGTAAATAAGTAACTCTTGAACAAAAAAAAAAAAAACAAAGCAGAACAGAAATCAGTGGTCCTGAGGCTCAGAAGTATTAAAGAAAAAAACAAGTGAATTGCGGACAGAGCTGTCCTGGTCCCAGAATTTGCTATAGGGTAAGTTGTGGTCTTTGCTGAACTGCAGGAGAAGAGAGCTCTTGGATCTTTGGGCTTGAGCATCCTTTCACTCCCCAGCATCCTAGGGCTGCCGAGTCACATGTAGGATGTCCTCAAGAGTCACTACAGTAGGTGGCCCCTAGCATCTCTCAGGAATCCATGGGTGCTGGGTTGATTCCTGTGTGAGTCCCTCTCAGTTCCCCGTCACCTTCTCTTGATCCATAGCTCTGCCAGGTGGAATGGCCAGCATGGGAGAGGGGTAGACTTTGACTGGAGGCCCTCAAGCCAGGGCCCCTGTTTGGTGGCCTTGGACCATCACCGTGAATCCAGACTGGCCTTTATTGTAGGAGCAGAAACCTCTGCTGTCTGCTGCTGTCTCAGAGGCTTGGGTGGGGAGGGAAGAGGTGGCTACCCTCTGTGTACTGGCCCCCACAGCCTGAGCACTGTCAAGGGTCAGGGGTGGACAAGGGCAGGGGCCTGACTCCCAGGCCTCACTTCCCTTCATTCTCTTCCCCCTAGTGACAGTGCCTCCAGCGTTCCCAAAACCCCGGATGGCGGACACTCTTCTCAGGAGATCAAGTCTGAGACCTCGTCAAATCCCAGCTCTCCAGAAATCTGTCCCAACAAAGAGAAGTAAGAGAGTTGGGGTTTGGGAAAGGCTGGCTGTAGCCATCTGGGCTCTGCCTCCAGGCAAGCCTAGAGTGACAGTTCCTGCCTTTGGAAATCTCTGGAACACCAAGACCACCAGGCAGAGACCGGGGGAGCCACGGTGGGCCAGCTCAGTCCTCTGGTGGATTTGCCTCACTCTCCGTTTGCCTTGCTTCCCGTTCCCCACAGGCCCTTCATAAAGTTGAAGGAGAACGGCCGTGCCAACATCTCCCGCTCCTCCTCCAGCACCAGCAGCTTCAGCAGCACCGCAGGGGAGGGCGAGGCGATGGAGGAGTGTGACAGTGGGGTAAGTGTGCCCTCATTCAGCCAGGGGGCAACGTTCTGGGGCCCAGCTGGCTAGACTGTGCTTTCAGATACCCTGGAGAAGGTGTGGTCTAGGCAGCGGCTACCACCAAATGAGAGCAGTGAGTGAGGGGACCCTGTCTCAACAAAGTGCTTAAGAGCAGCAGTGGAGGTGGTCCCTGCCAGGGGGACACCAACTGGAAAGGGAAGGGGTCAGGGAAAGGCTGCAGTCATGGCTGGGCTAGAAGTGCCAGTGTGAGGTTGGAGGCAGTGGCTTGCACGGCCCATTCCAGGACAGCTGTGGGACTGCCGGGCGGGCATACATTGGCCTCTCTCACCCAGTTTCTCTCCCCAGAGCAGCCAGCCATCCACAACCTCACCCTTCAAGCAGGAGGTGTTTGTCTACAGCCCGTCCCCGAGCACCGAGAGCCCCAGTCTGGGGGCCGCTGCCACCCCCATCATCATGAGCCGGAGTCCCACAGGTCAGTGGCATGTGAAGATGTGCATGATGTGGTTGGAAGGGCAGAGCTGCTCCCTGACCGCTGTTCAAAGGGCATGCCCCCCAGGCATGCTGACTTGGCCAATTTCTCCTTTTCCAAGATGTGAGGGCCTTACTACATTTGTACAACCAAAAAAAGCTCATAGTCTTCTTATATATGGGGAAACTGAGGCTTAGAGAATTGAATGATTTCATGATGGAGGAGTTAGGATTGATTGATTAGAAAGCTGAGAATTCTCTGCTCACCTCTTGGACTACCCTGTCCCCACCTAGGGCCAACGCCACAGCCTCACGTGATGCTAGCACCTGGCAGTCAGAGGAAGCAGCAGTGGAGGAGGCTGGAGGAATGCAAGACTGTGTTCTTGCATGAGGTTCTGTGCATGAGGTTCAGTGCAATGGGGGTCATGGGGGACGAGAGAGAACAGGGGTTATGGGGACCGTGAGTGCTGAGCAGGCTACCAGGAGGCCTGCTGAGGACTCAGGTGTTGTTGGTAAAAGCCACTGAAGGTTCTGGAAATACCACCTGGCATTGAGAAAGACCATTTGGCAGCTGCATGCTGAGTATAGAAAGGATTGGTGGGGGCTGGGGAGGATGCACCAGCAGAGGCCCAGTGGGCACCTAGGGGAGCCAGGGTCATGGCAGAGCATGTTGGGATGCAGAATTTAATGGGCTTGGTAGTGAGGGTTTAGGGAGAGTGGTAGCCTGTGTCTTTTGGGTTTCTGAGATCTGTACAGTTGAGCAGAGTAGGAAGTCCCAGGTTGGAGGGAAAGGAAAGGAATCAGCTTTCAGAGTCCACCAAGAACCCAGTGTGACAGATGATTTTTACCCTGTTGGCACTGTGGGGAGGGGTTCACTAGTCTCAGCAAGTGTTTGTAGGCGAGCAGTCTCAGGCTGTCAACCTCCAGGAAGAGGAAGGGCAGCTGGTAGGTTTTGCACACACTGGCCAATCCTTTGTAAACACTCATACTTGCACACACTGTCAATGTCCACACTCTGACCAGAGGAGGGCTTTGCCATCTCTCTGAGTCTCACCACGATGAGGGTAGGGGCTTTGGCATTTCCCGTGGGCCCGAGGCATTGGATCCATGACATGGCTCTGTCTGTGTCAATGATACGCACTCACTCAGGACTTCATCTGCTGTTTATACGTTCACTTAGGACTTCCTCAGCTCCATGCACAGATTTGATGAGCATACGCTGTAAAAAACTATTAACCTAATGTGTGTTGTGGGACTGAGATAAAACATTAGTGTGACCAGCCAGTTCTTCTCATCTAGGGGTAATCTCTCTCTCCTCAGGACTTGGGCAATATCTACAATTACTTTTAGTTTTCACAGTGACTGGGGTGGGGTGGTATTCCGCTGGTATCCCTAGGTAGAGACCAAACAATGTCAAAAGGAAGATGTAGTGGGATATGGGGGACACCAGGGTAAAAGCAAATGACCCTTTGTGGCGAGCTTCCCAGTTAATGCGGTAGCTCACAGCTCCCTCTCACTCAACTCCTGTGGTCATGCAGATCTTAAGATGAGTTCGAATCATGGCTTTGGCATCGACAAGCTTACCTCCCCACCCTCAGTTTCCCCATTTGTAAGATGGAGTAGTCCTACACATTTCCTGATGTTTTTAAAGCTTACTTAAATATTGATGAAGTGAATAAGAAACTCTATCACCAAACTGTGTCCTTTTTGGCACTAAATAAATATCAAAAGGAATGAATGCCAGCCTGCTCTCTTGGACAGGGTTTGAGTGAAGAGAGGCTTTGGGAGTGTCTGCAACTGGGTTAAGGTCACACAAGGCAGGAAGAAATGAGGAACTGGTGTGGAGTCTTCCCCAATGCTAACTACACCCCCAGGAGGTGCACCCCAGGCTGTATTACCCTAATATCTGCTTTTGACCCCCAACCCCAAGCACTGGGTGGGCTTGGAGGTCTGGAAACCTGTTTCTGGCTGCTCCAGTGAGTGTGAGGAAAGGCAGGCTGAGAGGAGAGATAGCCTGAGGAGTCTTCTGTAATTGCAGATGCCGGTCATTGGCCATTCATACTTGGGCTTCTGGGGACAAGAAGGGAAACATCAGGATCACTCAGGGAGGGTCTCATAGCGTGCATGTGTACATGTGTACATGTATGTATGTGTACTCGTGTGTGTGTGTGTGTGTGTGTGTGTGTGTGTGTGTGTGTGTGTGTGTCATGCATAGGCACGATAAACTTTACCAATATTATGGATCTGCAATACAGTTTGAAAATAATGGAAAGATATACAGTATTCTTTACTGTGAGTCTTAATGTGTCTATAAGATCCTCATAGGACAGTTTGACTGGTACTTACCTAACTCTGGTACCTGTAATCAGTTTAAGGTGGCAGATGACAGTCAAATCTGGTTCCCATATGGGTGTCAATGGATATTATTGCCTGTGTTGACATTTTACATTAGGAGGACAGCATTCATTATGTCAGTGGTACAAATAGCCTTTTTGCTGAATTTGGTGGTAGTTCTCAAACACTGGGAGCATGGCAGCTCCTCTGCTGCTCTTCACAATGTAGTGGCTGCAGGCACAATGTAGTGGCTGCAGGCTTAGTTCATATGTTATTATTTTCCATTGGTTCCTTAAATCTAGATGGCAAAACTATAAGCTCAGGTTTGTAACATTGCCAACTTCAGTAGTCTTAATACTCTCATCGAGATTGATTTCAAGCTACCACTGAGACATCCCTGAACTTGGGGTTGAGGAGAGATGCATAGCCTACTACCTTAGCGAATTTCTGATATAAGGACACAGCATATGTGAGGGCCCAGATTACAGCAAAATATGTCAATATAATGAGGAAATGGAAAAATTTGAGTATTCATTATCTTCCTTGAATACGGCCTGTTTACTTTTGAGCTTCCATTGTGAAGATATTTCATTTTAAAGTGACCCGTGTTTAATAACTAGGGCACACCATTTCTCAGAGTCTGAGTACTGTTAATCGCGAGTGGGTACCTGTTAGTGAGCATGCCTTGGGGAGAGGCTGAGGTCCACTTCCCCCGGCCTCCCTGCTCACTGTTCTGGTTTTGCTGGAACGATTCCTTAAACTCCATGTCTTTTTTCTTTTTTTAGATGCCAAAAGCAGAAACTCCCCGAGGTCAAACCTGAAATTCCGCTTCGATAAACTCAGCCATGCTAGCTCCAGTGCGGTAAGGATGGTGTGGGCAGCTAAGGAAGGGCCCTACGAGCCCTGCACCCCACATTCCAGGACACCCCCATAGCCAGTCTTTTTTCCAGTGGGCGGGAAAGAGCACCTCAGGGAATGCTTATGAGGGTCCCCTGAGGCAGGCGGGGAAGGATGTTCTCCCAGACCTGGGGGTCATGGTTTCTGTTCTTACGTAGTCCAGACACCAGGCTGGGGGCCCACCAGCCCCTGTTGTCACGCCTCCTGCTGTAGAGCCACATCCTTGCACACAGCCACCCCAGATGTGAGGTGGGTTCTGCTGGCCTCTGGGAGCCCAAATCCCTTCCTGAGCTCAGACCGTCGGGAGCTGAGTGCTCAGGAGCTGCAGGTGGAGGCGGTTGTTGTCTGGTGTTTGAAAAAATTCTTGTGTGTTTTCCTCAAACAGGGACACTAATGTGAGTGGAGTCCTTCCCCTGTCCAAGGTGAGTGTCTTCCGGTGGCCCTGAGAGGGGAATGTTCCCGTAAGGTCAGAGTGTCTGTGGCTTTTTGTCCTCAGAATGGCCAGAGAGACTGTCAGCTGAGGGATGCTGAGGACTACTGTTGATGGACATCTCCAGGCCTCCTAGGGGGAAGGAGGGGCTGAGAACGGTACCTCGGAAGGGTGGTCCAGTGGCTTTGGGATAGATTCCTACACTGGATGGAGCTGGTTCTAGTAACCAGAAGGGGAAGTAACCGAAAGTTCACTTCCTTCCCTGGAGGGAGGAATTCCTCAGTTTACCCCTTGCTTTCCTGTTTGCAGGCAGTCTCTCTCTCTCTTTGTGTTTTTGGCCAAGGCTCCAGGCTGGTATATGTCTTCCCCATATGACAGGAGATGCCCCTACCCAGCCATTGCTGGGGGGGGGACAACCCTAGGGTGGTCTCTATGCTCCTGGCGTGATACACTAGTGAGCTCCTAGTGAAGCCGCCCGAGACCCGCTGTAACCCCCACCTCCTCCGTGAGGGCTCTCAGGAGCATGAGTGAGTTGGGACCAAAGGGAAGGGTACAGTTGAGCCCACTCTGTGTTAAACCTGTTCATGAGAAAACAGAAGAGAAAATGGGGGTGTAATAGTGGCCTCCGCCATCTGTGGTGGACTTCGGATGCTTGTGTAGCACAATGCTTACACACGGCTTCTGGGGCTAACCCCTTGTATTCGGCACCCTCCTCATTGTGAGTGTCGCCATGGGCGAGTGGGTTTCCCACCCTGACTCCAGCCTGTTTCTCCCCTCTGTTACCTGGTGCTTGTTCTCCATCTCCCCTTCCTTATCTCCTCAGGGAAGTCTTGATTCTGGCCTGCAGAAGGCTCCCGCTCCAGCAGTTTGGGGGTGCCATCCACTACTCTGATCGTTCAGGCCTGCTGTCTCACTGGCCACCTGCCCAGCAGACCAGCTGTCTGCTCCATGTCCTGACCTGGCCATGGCCTTGCTGGCTCCTTCTCCACGGACCCGAAAGCCCCAACCTCTGCTCCTGACCTCCCGATGTGACCGGCTATCAGAGTCAACCGTCATCTTGTTCTACCTGCTGGAAAAAGAGTTGAACAAGGGGGATTCCGGGTCCCAGGGGGCTCAGCGAGAAGCTGGGGAGCTTGTCTGCCCAAGACACAGAGGGGGTTGTGTGGTGGGGAGCAGAGGTGACTGCAGAATGGTTGGTGGGTGCGGTCTGTCTTGGGTCACAGTACAGTGCCATCCTGGACATGGCGGAAGGGCTGCTTTTCCAGGAATTTCCCAGCATCCTCCAGGTTGTATCTCACTGCTCCTGTGATAAGTACTTCTGGCACATCTGCTAGCCCAGGCCTCGGGAGCTCTGTCCCTGCTGCTAGGGTCCCCTTAGGGAAGGCTCAGGGTGGTGGAAGCACAGAGTCAGAGCTGGGTGTGTGCCGGACTGGCTGCATGTTTCCATGACTGTAGTCTCAAGGTTTTTCCTGTCAAATTTTACACAAGCTGCTGATCATCCTTGTGGAGAGAGAAGCCCCAGTAACTTTTCTCCTTTGAGTGGATATTTTTCCTGGGAAGGAACGGGAGCCGGTAGTGTGAGGAGTCTAGGGAGAACACACGGTCAGCTCAGGGACGTTTGTTGGTTGAGGAAAGCTTCTGTATGGGCAGGCTCATCTGGGGTCCAGCTCTCCACTTTTGTGAGAATCCAGAAAAGACATAGTTCGTTCAACCCATCTTTTAGGTGGGAGAGAGGGGAGAGACGTCATGGGGGAAGGGTGTGACTTGACAAGTTTTGGTTAGGCCGGTGTGTGGTAGTTGAACTTAGCATTGGAAACAGTATGGCGTCTCTCCTCCACCTGTGCTCCCGGCATCTGTGAGGGGCCCAGTGCTGCTCAGGGGCTGCTTCTAGGCTCGGTCCCCGGTCCCGTTCTTCCCACTCCAATGGCAGGTCTTCAGGCAGTTGTCCCATCTGCAGGGCTCCTGGAAGCCAGGCCCCATGAACCTGTGCTTTGTACACCACAGACCGTCCGCACTCCTGGCCATGGCCGCCACCTCTGGGTGAGCCCGCTCATCTTGACGAGCTCTCTTGGGCTCCTCAGCCTTCCAGGTTTGCAGGCGCGGTTCAGCTGCAGGGGATGGGGTGGAACATCTGCCAGGCCAAACACCGGGTCTAAACAACAGGCACTTGAAGATCCTGCCCCATTAAGTACACATAGGCCTCTGGCACAGGGCTGCTCTGGTTCTGGGCTCCCGCCTCAGTGAGCAGATGATAAGATTTCCCATCCAGGGCTTGTCTGCATAGGCTTCTGTTCCCAAGCCCAAGTACGGAAGGGTGACAGAGCTTCTGGGGTTGCTGTGGTAACCATGTCCCCACTGCTTCTGTCATCTGATCCTTCCTTCCCCACACACTTGCGGACCCGGGGAGGGATACCATGCCCTGCACTCCGCTTGGGATACCTGCTTACGTGAAGGACTCGTCCGGGAGGATCTGCTCTAGTTAGAAGGTCAACAGAATATCCGTTTAGCTTTTATTAAAAGCCAGCGCGGCAGCACCCACTGCTGGAAGGAGATGAGTGGATTCTGGCAGCGTTCTGCTTGAACTTGAAAGGTCAAACTGTGTTTTCTTTGAAACTACTACAGGACTCTGGCTCCCTTCTCTTGGTAGGACTGTTTTTACCTTTGCTCGGTGGTTGTGCTATGTTGCATTATGGTCTGGGTCCTCAGGAGCTTCTAGGTTGTCCACAGTGACCTTCTAAGTCTTCTTGTCCCCACTGCTTTGGCTGGTTTCCTGCAGGTATTAGCTCTAGGTCAGGTGTTGCCTCTGCTTCTGGGCCAGTGGAAAGGAAGGATGACTGTGTATAGAGGGACGGAGAGGCACTGGGCTGGGGTCTTCACCCTTGGTTTGCTGTTGAGATACTCTGGGCAGGATCTGAGCTGCCCCTGCCCTCTGGTCAGGCCCCTCTCTATCTAGCAGGTCCATCCTGTGGCTTTCCAGGGTACATACTTCCAGCCCAGCTGGAGTTCTCTGTGGAGCAGGAGAGTAATGGCAAGGCCCAGCCTCCTCTAAGCCCTCTGGATGGGAGGCTGTTCCTCCCACACTCTGATCCAATCTTTCCTTTCGTGGCTGCTCCCAGTCTCAGGGCTTAGAGTCTTGCTGAAGCTCCTTCATGGGACTGGGCCTGTGTAGATGATGCTTCTGCTTATATTTGGGGACATTTCCACTGTGGCCCCCCACAAGGGGTTCTCCTGGTCACAACTCTGGCTCTGGGGGACTGCCTGACTCACTGAAGAAACTATACTTTGCAGGTGTTAATAGGCACCCAGATGCCTCCAGTTCTGTTGATACATCAAAGCAGAAGTGGGAGAGCTCCAGATAGATGCTCTTAGCCAGAGTTTCTGTCTGTGATTATGAATGTCAAATGGCGTTTCTTGGAAAATAACCTGCGGTTCAGTTTTACGGGCACCATTTGATACTCGAGGCTTCTGGACCATTTGCCTCTCATCCAATCATACCATCCTCCTGACCGGCAGAAAGAACTTGCCTGAGGCCACACAGCCACCTAGTGGGCAAAGCTGTTACTAGACCCACAGCCTCTGGCCCGGTCCTGTGTACCAGCTGTACTTACTGTTGGTGGAGTAAAACAGCTGCATTTCCTGGGCCTGGGTTTGGGAGAACCCTGTTATCTGGGATTTCTAGACTGACAGGGAGGTGCTGGGGTTGGAGGATGTTGATAGGGCCTCAGCTGTGACTGTTGAGAAATCTTGGTCAGTGAGGAGCCTGGGGCTTGAGTGAGGGAAGTGGAGGGGAGGGAGTCCAGCAAAGTGTTTCTTGGGCCTTCAGTGACAGGGGCAAAGTGACCTGGACGAAGATGCATTGGCTTCCTTGTTTTTAAATCAGGACAGAAAATGATAAAAAGGAACCAGTTCTCTGATCTACCTTCTCTTCCTCTATCTCCATCCCTCCCTTCCTCTTTTTGGTGGTGCTGGGAATGAACCCAAGGCCTCGCTCACGCTGAGCGAGTAAGTACCCTGCCACTGAGCTATACCCCAGGCCTCTCCAGTTCTTAAAATGGAGACGGGGGATAAAAGCCCGGATCAGGTGACTAGGCAGGACACAGGCGGTTCCCTTTTCCTTCCTTCGACCCTTAAGGTGCCAACTCAAACATTACCTTTTGTCCATTGTTTCTTAGTCTGCAAAGACAGCTGTGTCGTGGGGGTGGGTGTGCCTGGGGTTCAGATAGAGCTTGCGGCTTCTGGGCCAGCAGGGACCAGGTCAGTCAGCCGTGCTCTGGGCCCCCCGTGCTCCTTCCCCGGCTTCTAGTTACCCCTCAATCCAAGGCAAGGGCAGGTTGGTACAGTAACCAAGGCTGTTCCCACTGCTTGGTGGAGGGCCTCTGAGGCATCCTCTGGCGTCTGTCTCACCACCAATTCTTTGCCCACACCAATCTCCCGTCTCTTCAGCTGGGTTATGCGCTCCCTTGGGAGAAAGACACCCCCCCCCCCCCCCCGAGCCTAGGGCAATCTGCCTACTGAGCAGCAGCTGGGGAAGTGGCTTTGGCCTGGGCCTCACCGTCCCTGGGGAGGGTGTGCTCGGCTGGAAGACTGGAAACAGTTGCCCTTGTCTTTGGTTTTGTGACATTTCCACGCGGAAGGGTGAAATCCCCCTTCTTGCCCCATAGTGTGTATGCCCACCCTTCCTCCTCGTGATGTCGCCGTGGCTGAACCTTGTCCGGTTCCCAGGGTGCCGACGTCTCCATGTGAAGAGATGCCTGTGTGGTAGAGTCTATGAGGTGTAGTGTGGAAGTGAACCCTGTGACGATGACTTTTCTTTGCTTCCTCTCAGTGAGGAGGTGATTTGTAGATCCCGACTGCCTATGGAATGTAAATAGTGTACATTTAATTTATTGCCATGGTAGCACATTGTATTTGTTAATGTATAAAACAAATTCTAAAAGGTTGACAAATGTATATTTTGTTGCTTAAATGTGTCTTTGCAGAAATTGACAATAAATAATAACATATTTTGTGTCCATCAGAGTTCATGTTTCCTTGAGTAGGGCACCAGACTTCAGCAGGGCCTTTCATTGAAGGTTGGGTATTAGCTGGCTTGAACCTGCTTGAAAAGGTTTAAATGTGCTGCCATATTAACGTAACCAAATAAGCAGGCCTGGTGCTGGGAAATAAGTTTGTTGGATAAGATTGCTTGCTCTGTAAGCATGAGGATCTGAGTTTGAATCTCCAGCGCCCACAAAAAGCTGTGCATGACTGCACATGCCTGTGACCCTGTGTGGGGGAGGGGCAGAAACAGACAGATGCCGAGAACTTGCTTGTCAGGCAAGGGAAAATGGCAAGCTTCCCGCTTAGTGAGAGACCCTGTCTCAGGGCAATAAGGCCAAGAGTGAGGAGGGATGACAAATAATGCCCTGCTCTGGACTTCGTGTGCACAGGAGTGCAAACCTGTACACTCACATGTGTGCACTACATACACGTACAACACACATGCACACACACACAGAGTCAAACTAACCATGACTTTAAAAAAATCGGAGTTTTGCTACTTATTTTGAACAATATCAGACTGAATCTACTCGGGCATGGACTGATGCGAGCTGGCTGAAACTTTTCTAAGCAGGACTTGAGTATACCATCGTCCCCACCACTCCTCATTGTCCACCTGTCCGCCATTCACCCATTCTGGTTATTTGTTCAGTCTCTGTAGTCTGGAGATGAGACCCCTGCTGCTCAATGACTTGTCTCCTTCCTATAATTTTTCCCCTTTCCCCGAGTTCCTCCTCAGATTCTAGGTTCAGGGATTCTCCTCTGACTAGATGTCTTTCCCCACATGTTCCCCCGACTTGCAAATGGCTACACTTACCTGTGTGCTTTGATTGACAGCTTGGGTGTAGATTTGAAGGCAAGAGGCAGGCTTTAAGCCCCTGTCAGGGACTTGCTTTGTGATCTCGGGCAAGTTATTCAATATTCTGGGACCTGAATTTTCTTTTATGTGCTAACAGAAATATAACCCCTGTGGAAAGCATGAGGATAAAAATAAATTCCTAATTGAGGAAAAGCTTTGAAAAAAAAGTTTTGTTTAGTACCAGGGATTCGGTAATAATGATAATCCCAGTAGTAGCTGTGGACATTTACACAGGTAGCCAGTTTGCTATAGTGACTTTCTAGTCCTTAAAAATACACCATGGGAAACTGTGCAACCACGGGGCATATGGGAAAGATGGGCTAGGTGCATGACACTCCAATACACTCTTCGTGACAAATAAAGACATAGAAGCTTAATAAAACTGGTAACAATTCACGCATACTAATGATTAAAGGCACACTACATGACTAACATGCATCAACTTCAAACAGGCCTGAAGTTTGCTTGTGGAGGCCAGTGTTGGAAGGGTTGCCACTTATGAATTGTGAGGAGTTAGGGGAGCCGTAGTCTGAAGCTAGATGAGTGGATGGGTCGCAGAGCACACGGGCTACATGGAAGCAGCTGGCAGATGTTTGGGGTCTGTTGTGTGTTTTGTGTGTGTGTCCTATGCATCTTGATGTACCTGGGTGCAGTTGCCTGTGTGCATCTGATATTTCTCAGGGACGCAAATGCAGAAGCAAAAGTCCAAGCTGTCCTAGACTAAGGCTGTTTCCCGTCACATCAACTGCACAGGACCAAGGTTACCTTTTAAAAATGCGTCTTAGGGCAGAATTGATTTTAATCTCACCCAGTGCCCAAATAACTCATCGAGACTGGTGTTACTTCTCATGCCACGTCAGGGGTCAGAATCACATCTCATTATAGGGCCGGAATCTGATAGGCCGACGATGACGACAACGTGAAGGTAAGTTCTAGGTGACTGGGAGTGTTGTGCGCACGGTGGGGCAGCTGGTGATCTGTGTGTCTGTGTACTTGGCTTTTGTGTCCTGTGTGGAGCCCCACGCCTGCAGTGTCCTGGGCTGGGAGCTGCAGCCCCTGTTAGGCAGTGCCTCCTCTCCAAAAGTGCTTGCAGGCTTCCTCTTCAGGGTCTGAGATTCCAAATGAAGCTCCATCTTCACACAGCGTCTGCTGCCTCTCTGCACCTCATGCTTTGGGTACTTCTTGGGTCCAACTGCTCTCCCTGGAAGCAGGATGGGCGGGGTGGGGTGGGGTTAATTACGGATGGAGTCTTGTGGGGGCTGAATTCTCTCCTGTGTAGAAAGTGCTGTACAAGGCATGGATGTCATTCATCTGGGCCAATGACTGTCCTGTCAGATTTTTAGACCCCGCTGGCACCCAGGAATCCTACCTGTTATTCTAAATGCCTGCTCAAACATTCTTTTCCAGCAGGCGGGCACACCTAACAGCTTGGAGGCTTAAGTTCTTAGGATTCTTAAAAACTGCCCCCACCCCCCAGGTCCAATAGCTTGGGGTATTCTCGGATATGGTGGGGTCCATTATTCTGCCTATATGGGGGAAGGTTTTTCTGACCAGCCCTCTTCTACTTGCTGTATAGTGGGGTCCAAAAATAACATCACTGTCCAGTTATATAACTCTGTAGTAACAAAACAACCCTATTTCAGTTCAAATTCAAAGCTTTTTTTTTTTTTTTTTTTTTTTTTTTTTTTTTTGAGACAGGGTTTCTCTGTGTAGTTTTGGTGTCTGTCCTGGATTTCGCTCTGTAGACCAGGCTGGCCTCGAACTCACAGAGATCCACCTGGCTCTGCCTCCCGAGTGCTGGGATTAAAGGCGTGTGCCACCACTGCCCAGTTCAAAGCTTGTTTAAAATCTCACATTCAGTTCAAGGTTCATCTCACCAACCCTCGGGTGGAGGCTGGCATCGTGGGACAGTTGTCTTGCCTTGGGTTGTGTAACCTCTGACAACCAAACCTCCCTGCTCCTCTGATCCCACTTCCTGACTAGGCCTCATCCAAGTTAAAACTAAATCTAAACCAGTGAAGGATTCCCACCCTCAGTGGATATTCAGGGCACTTCTTTTGGTCTTGACACCCAATCAGTTCCTCTTGGTAATTTTCCACCTGAGAAAACTGCTCACCTTAAAACTTGGCTGCAAATTCCCACTGGTCTCTGTCCTGTTTACAGTTGGGTTCCACTTCATTTCCTTATTGCAACAGTTTTGGATAAAGTCTCCTTTGTTTGATGGGTACAATTTTTCTTTGCTTAGGGGCTGGTCTGCCCTCCCACTAATGTCCTTCTGTACATACCGAAAGGGGAATGGTGCATTTATTAGGGGAAAGGCCCATGAGGCAGCATGGGGAGGGAGCTGGGGAAGGTTGGACAGCTCTCAGTGCGATGCCTAAAGGAGAGACGGAGGGGCCGAGGGCTGGGCATTTGACAGTGCACTTCTACAGGACTTCTTCAAGGCCATCTGGGGGAGTCGTCGGTCAAGTGGTCCACTAGAGGAGCCCCATATATCCAAAGAATGAGCCTGTAATCACCACCCGTGATGCAAACAGACACTGGGTGGGAGCGGCTGTGGGAAGGCTGGCTTCAGTGTGGTTCGAATACAAGACTCGAGGTCTGATGGGCAGATGACGTCAGCCTAGTCCTGATCTGACGTTCAAGGGCAGGCCAAGACTGACGTTGGCCAGCTTGAGCAGAGCGCATTGTCCTTCCTCTCCCTTGTTGCTTTCAGGCCCTCCCTGGATCGTAGGAGTCCCATTTCCATGGTGAGAGCTATGGTTCCTCAGTCTACCGTCAAATCAACTGATTCTGGCTGCCCTTCGTAGATACATCCAAAAGGAATGTTTTATAAGCTCCCTGGGTGTTCCTCATCCCAGTCATGTTGACCTGGTACTAGTCATCACACAGGTCAAATGCAGCCATGCCTTCATCAAGCCTTTCTTCTTGTGTTGCCTAGGGGAGGAGGTGTGTGAGTGAGTGTGTGTGTGTGTGTGTGTGTGTGTGTGTGTGTGTGTGTGTGTGCTGCTTTTATTGCTAGCTCTGATGGCTCATTGCTGCACAGTTGTTGAGGCTCTGCTTGTTTCCAGTGACTCCAGTGGTCCTTTGGATTTTAACTGTGGGATTGGTGAGTCATTGCTAGGGTCCATTCCAGAATCTTCTCTTAGTCATTTAATGGTACACTGTGTGCTCCCGTGCAGTCACTCCTTACGGGAGCCAGAGGAAAGTTCCTGAGAGGACATCTGAGACACATTAGTTACCTCAGGGTAGTGATCTAAGAGGTGGGATTTTCTGTCTGCTTTCCTCAGGTGCAAATGGCACCCAAAGCATCAGGCTGTGCGGAAACCTCATAGAAGACTTTCCAACTTTAGGCCATCCTCTTCCACCCTCAGAACAGAGGCTGTTCCATGCACAAGCATTGCTCAGGGAAACTTTCTCCAGCTGTTCAGCCTTAGACTGCATAAAAATCACCCCCCCCCCCCCGCAAAAAACTTTAAAAATGCTGATTTCAGGTATTATTTGGGATGTTACACTTCAGTTGCTCTGGGGTAAGACCCAGGGATCTGCATTTTGTGTGTGTGTGTGTGGGGGGGGAGGGGGGCTGGGTCAGGGTCTCATTATGTAGCCGTGGTCGGCCCGGAACTTGCTATGTAGATAAGGTTAGCCTTGAAGTATAGAGATCCGCCTGCTTCTGCTTCCCGAGGGCTGGGATTAAAGGAGTGTACCATGATGCCCCATAGGATGTGCATTTTTAGATGAACACGTGCAGAATTCTTTTGTGGTCCAATGCTTTGGGAACCATGGGCTCAGCTTACAGTCTCTATTTGAAATCGATTCCCTGCGGAGTAGTCTCAGGTTCAGAGGCCTGTCTCCCCACTGCAGGGTAGAGAGAAGTCTGTCCCCAACTTACAGGGTGGGGAGAAACCAGTCTTCCACCTAGGGGGATTCTTTCCACAGTTAATTATCACGCAGGTGGAAAAAAAAAATAAATCCTAAAAAACATAGGTTTTTGTAGGAAAATGAAAGGGAATGACCAGAGAGATCAGAACAGAGGACAAGTCAAGAAATAGGAAGCTTGACAGGAGCAGTTTGCTGTGAGATGGATGATCGCTGCAGGAATGACAAAGACATCT